TGAATCTTCACCTCCATGAACGCCTGCACCTCCACCAGGCTCCGCGGAGTCGACTGCAACTTCACCACCTCCATTCCCGCAACACTGGCGAGGCGACGAACCTGGAATCCCTTCAGGCTCACACCTGGAAATCCATCCGCGTCCTCTTCCAACTTGTCCTGCAACACGGTGGCCATCCTCGTCGCCACAGAATCCCAAAGGACACACTGCACGATGCCACTCTTGTCTCCCACGATCACCGTGCAGCTTGGCTTCGGTTCCTTGCGGAGAGTCCCCACCTGGAGCACCGCAACCTCCACGTTGGCCACGGCGTGTTCACCCAGGTTGCCCAGCTCCGCAATGCTCGCCACTGCCACCGCCTCCACGGCAGCAACTCCCTGGCGACGTCTCTTCAGCGGGCTGCTTTCTGTCGCAGCAGCTGCCATGCTACAAAGACAGGGAGACCGTCTTACACTCGAGCCCAGATACCCACTTCATTGCCAGCTTCAAATCAAAGCACACACACCATCCTAACAATTGCATCTGCACAAACCATCCACTGCACATTGCCACCAATCATTCGACGACAAATGATACATTTTCCGGCAAACCATGTTACAATGTTCGAATACCAGAAGGTAGACCTAGTCGAATGGACAATCATTTTCTATGTCACTTGATTTGAATGACATGCTGCTTGGAGCTTTGACATGCCGAAAAAGTACTGTTCGTTATCTCCAATTACAAGCGCTTGAAGCGAAAAACATTAATACTTCAAGGCTTGTCTCGAAATTGAGGCTCGCCCAAATGGCGATGGGCCAACCGAGGCTGCAAAACATGAGCTGTCGTATGAGTGTAAATCGCCGATATGCTGATTGACCTCGTCACATTTACCACTTTCCCATGGTCAACGCATATCACAATACCAGCCATTCCTCACCTTGGTGTGCTTCTCCGTGACCATCTTGTTGGTGGTGGTCTTCCACGACTGGACCTCGCGAAAATCTGGCGTCCATGCTTGGATTTTTGGGACCAACTGTCGACTCTCATGGGAATTTTATGCTTTCATGGTGTTAATAGGTTATTATATGGTTTTCATCGGTGTTAATAGGTTATTCTAGTAGGTGCCATGGCCCGGTGATGTCACCTGCTGCTGACTGGAAAAGCAGGTTGGAACTATGGTAAAATGCTCCATGGTGCTGGTATATTTACCACCACAACTGGGTGATTTGTTTGGGTAAAAATTGGTAAACCTTCCACTTGCCGTCTGGTCAACTATGACATCACTATGGACAACCATTTTTAAGAGGGAAATCAACTATAAATAGCCATTTTCAATCGCTATGTTAGCCATTACCAGAGGGTACATCAGTTGGGCTAACTTACTGGTGCTAAACGTAGGGAATGGATGGGAATGGATGGGTTGCTGGAGGTTGCTGGGCTGATTATTACTAGTGATTGTGGATCATTCCCTGACTCGTTCCCTGCGTTTCGCACCGGTAAGATCATAGCAAATGATCATGATTTTTTTTAGACGAACTTGTAACATCTTATGATCCTACTTGGGGTGTGACGTTACAAATGTAACCATGGGTTATAAACCACAAGTTGGAATATAAGGCATATTAATGACTATGGCTATGATTTGTCTAAGTTCTCCGAAACCGCACTTACAACTAAGTGGGATTTAGGGAAGAACTGTCACCGCCGAGATAGGGACTAGGATGGACCGACATTTTGGACCAAGTGAACCAAGTTGACGGCCATTTGCCATCTTTCTGCGTATGTTCATGATTCATCCCCAAAACTCAGGTTCCGTTCCTCTTGAGGTTCCGCCTTTTTTTTTCTATCCAAAGATTCCCCCATGTTCCAATTGGATCCAGCTCACCTGGAAACCATTTTGAGCCTCCAAACTTCGAACGTCTCAAAGAGGGAGCTCTACACGACAGGTATCGCAGCATCCGCTGTTGCGAGCGATTGGAGCCGAGGAGGCGTTAATTATTGATCATTATTCACCATCAACAAGCAATAACCATCATTAACCATAACCCATTAAACAAATGTAACCCATGGATGGTCTCTCATTGATTTATATAGTTGATGCTTGGTGGCGACTGGAATAGATGGCTATCTTCGCTCCACCATCGGGGGATCACCGTCATGGTTGGATAAAGCCCCAGGCATAAAACCACAGTCTACACTCTACACTTGACACTCTTCACACTCACCCTCTACACTCCACACTTAATCCTCCACACTTTCCACTCTACACTCTACGCTTTACCCACTGCACACTCCACACTCCGCACTTTACACTCCACGCTCCTCACTCTGCACCCCACACGCTACCAGGGGTCGGCGGCAGGGGGCGGCAGCCCTTTAATAATATAATATAATATAATATAATATATATATATATACATTTATATATATATATATATCTGTATATATATATAATATCTATGTATACATATATATATATATATGGTGTATATATAAATAAATATATATATATGTATCTATTTATAGTGTACAGTGTATATATAGGCTCGTCCCAGGTCCTGGAACTACATACGATGGGGTGGGGGGATGGGGTGGGATGTTAACGTTCATGTGAACTTGCAGAAGCAGTTGATGCTACGCACACGCGGGGTGGGGTGGGATGGGGTGGGATGTTAACGTTCATGTGAACTTGCAGATGATGATGATACTAATGCTGATGCTGATGCTGATGCTGATGATGATGATGATGATGATGATGACCCTAATGAAACTTGTCATCGTCACGGAATTGACAAGTTTTACCAACCTAATTCGGGTTTGCGCAGTTCCAAGACCTGGGACGAGGCTATATATACACACACACACTGTATTACCATCCCTGTAATCCCGGAGCCACACACATCTTCACCAGCTGAAACCACGCCTCTGACATGGTTTCGACCACATCCTGGTCGAAAGGGAGGACTTCTGGAGCATGCCTGCGGAGACGAGGAACCAAACGGAACCAAACGGACCACTTTTATTAGGTGCCTGGAGCGGTATCTAGCATGCAAATACCCAGGATATCCAAGGAATTCCAAGGATATCCCAGGCTGCATCTTTAGATGGGATGTGATAGTCAACGCATTTCATATCATATTCTATTCTCATCGATGGTGAGAGAGGTACTTGGTACATGATGGTATGATTACAATGGAACCATCTCCCACTGGGACGCGCGCTTTTCGTTGCGATGACGACGAACTAGTCGTTCAATTTCCTGGCACAGTTGTGATTCTGTCCGGGGCCGAAAATAGCACACACACTTCGACTTGTCACACACTTCACATGAGTTCGTGCATTTGAAAATGATTATAAATAAATATATATATATATTATGTGTATATGATTTTGATTGCAATGATGCATTCGTTGGTTGAATGATTATGATCAGTATGGCCCGTGGTTGATACCAGAGTATCCTTGACGCGGAGCCTTGCAATTTGAAGATATAATAGCCTCCATTGGAGTCATTTGTGTCGCATGGCAGCAACCTAAATTGCAGCTTGTGCTTCTCAAATGCTAAACGACTCCTGGCGCACCTCTTTTGCTTGTCAGTGGTTCCACTGTTACGAGTAGGTTTTATATTAACAAGTATTCACTAAGGATTCAGCCACCCCTTCAAACATCTTCCAACAGTCAGTTTATCATAGTAATTTTGTAGCGGGCTGCGTCCTCCTTGTAGTTCTCCATGTCGACTTCATCGTCATTGGTGTCTTCCTGCCATATCCCAACATATCCCAACAGCAGGTCTTTTTCACCTGAGATACCTCAAAGATCCTCAAAGATCTCAAAGATCCAACATTTGGAGGTCTAATGACTTGGATGATGTGGGGTACCCCCGCTAAGGAAACCTCCCTCTAACTTCTGGCTTATGGGTGTATATATATATATATACATACAATGGCCGTGTATTCCTTCACAAGTTCATTGGATCCACCAGCCCGTCATTTCAGGGGATGACCACCGCTTCCCCCCAGCCTTGGTGCTCGGAATCTCCTCCTCTGTTGAAGTCATGGCCAATGCGGAAAAAACAACTTGCGGCACGTCGTCAGTTTTATTTTTTTGCAAAGATTCCTGGCATGTGTTGGGCGCAATTTCTACTTCTCTTGGGTTTGTTTTTGTTTAAAGCTTAGCTATGCTTGGCTCATCAAGATCTGTGCTCCTGGGTTGTTTGAATCATCCGAAAGAAAGACTCTTCCAGTCAGCATCATCCGAGGCATATACCAAGCACTTCAGCTGGTCCCTAGAGCCATAGTTTTCGAAGGCGTGGGATCAGGATGGATCGATGCCGTCCATGAGTGCAATACCATCTGCGGTGAAAACAGCACATCAGCACAACATGAAGAAACATGGCAGTGTGTCAAAACCTTGTACCCCTGGTGAACATCAAAATAGCTGGTAAATGGATGTTCATCCCCCTAAAAATGGTATTAATAGGTATTGATCCATACCCACATCAGTAAAACAAAATGCAGTCAGGATGTAAACGCATGTAGCACCACCTCAATGAAACCACTGAAGAATTGGAAGCTGGACAGTGTCTGCCACTCATTTTTAGGCACTTGCCAACAATGATGCTGGCCATGAAAGTCATTAGTCTCCAGCCTGCAGTGAATTTTCAGCTTTGAAACTAATTGAAGCAATGCAACTGCGAATTGTGCATCCAACCACTTGCATCGTAGCCTGGTAGCGGCAAAGAAAGCCTAACCGCCTAACCCCTTGAAGCTTATTTCACAAGCTTGATCACCTGGCACTAGCAGGTGTTCATAAAGTTACAGAAGTACTTGTTCCATTCAGATGTTAGTGGGTATGATATCATCATTGCATCATAATATCAGTAGAGATCTGCTGGGACTATTTTGGACTTGTGGCTGCTCTTTAACATCTTGCAGCACATCAACACTGAACATGCCCCTGGGTTGTTGAATGGAACAAGGCTTTTTTTGTGACCCAAGTCACGTGCTCAGCGCGTGCGACTAGCGGGACCGTGGCATCAACGACTCCTCAACACTCTTGACCTCAGAAACCAAGGAGGTGAACAACTTTTGCGACCTGGAAAAGCCATGAAAAGCCATGGTTTCCCCAGAAAATCGTCTACAAATGGTTGATGTTCCAATATGTTCCACATTCATCTTACTTTACCCTAGGGTAAAATGACACATGTCTCCTTGTGATGGCCAAAAGTCGATGTGGCAGCCAGGCATTGGCTGCTGTAGCTGATGTAGAGAAGCGACAACCGAGGATCACAATCCCATGAAACTAACTGGAGGATGTGGTAACCCCAATAAACCTACCATTTAGGGATAGAGTTTACTACCCATTTATGGTACTATTAGGGATGGTTTATTGGCTGTACCACACTATAAGTTATAACATGTGCAAAACATCCACAGGAACAGAGTCAAAGACCTGCCGACTGCTTCTGGCAATGTGTCTATAAAAATCGTCATGGCCACAGCTATAATTTTATCGTTCCAAATCCATAGCTATACATCCATAACCCATAGGATCCATGTATGCTATATATGGTAACATTTACCATCAATATACCCCCAATGTTAGCATATATGCATACCAGCACCATGGATCCTATGGGTAATCAAAGCATATCAAAGCTACAAAAAAACGCGGTTGTCCGAAAACGGCCACTGCTGCCAAGGCTCCACTTTTTTCCCAAAGATACCCAGCACTTCCTGCACCTCGTGGATGCTTTTGAATCCACCTCCAACGGTCCAACGGCGACAGCCGTTGAAAAATGGGGGAAAGCTGGGGACAATTGCAGAAAAACTCAGAAAAACCATGGGTTTTTACCGGGACAATGGCTGGAAAACCATGGAACACCCAGAAACAATGGTTTTTCACCACCAAATAGAGAGGATTGCTGTAAAATCATGGAAAACTGGACCAAAATACATCACAAAAAAAACAATGCATACTATATATATATATATATGTATATCACATTGTTTCTAGATGTGAACAAATCGACTATTTGTATACATTTGCATATTGTTTTCCTGAGTAACAATGTTATGATTCTCTCTAATGTTGCGGCAGCCCCATGTTTACAGAGTATATATGAGTTTCTGCCCATGAAACGATTATGTCTATAGTATTATATATTGGTTTGTCTGAAACTATATAGGCTACCGCACAAGCTTCTAGTTTATCATGATTGTCCCCATGAAAATGCACATTTTGGAGGAGTAGAGCCATGTATAAACCATTCCATTCCGGGATTTAAGAGAAAAAACATATCCCATTGTTAATCTAGCAATATCTAGCATAATATTTTGGAACAAAAACAAGATGGACAATGATGGACAATGATGGACAACGATGGACAATCTAAAACTGCTCAAATCATTGAAACCAGCAAGCAAATTGAGCACCCCTGACATATATAAATCTTGATTAAAATAAGCATTTAAGCAATGTTTCACTCTTTGCGACCACTTGAAGCACAGCTGAACTTGTGACTACCATCATTTACACTCCTCAAAACTGCCACAACCATTTCTTGCCATGAAATTACACTGGACTGATCCTATAATGATCCTATAATGATCCCTGAAAATGGGGTGGACGATCAGTAAGTGGGGTCTATCATGGCCAATCCTCCTGAAATACAGAAAAACCTGAAATATCATGTTTTTTTTTGCGGTAAAATAATCGTAAAAACCGGGTGACCCTCCAGTAGTCAACCTTGGCGTGCTGGAACGGCCCCCATTGAGTTCGATGATTTTGCCAGATGTTCCCAGCGAACTAAACCTCCACAAAAAAAAGGCGGTTTTCCCATTGCCATGTTTAATTACCAAAGGGTAAGCATTATCAATCATTATTAGTAAGCCATTATCAAATTACTATATTATCAACCACAATTAATTAACCATCACTAATTGACGATGCTTAATCAGTATATGTTAACACCTGTTAACCATAAATTAACCATTATTTATCATGCTTAACCACTATTAACCATGATTAACCACTGTTAACCATTCTTAATCATAATTAACAATGATTAACCACTATTAAGTAACCATTGTTAATCATAATTAGCATGATTAACCACCATTAATTAACCATTGTTAATCATAATTAACCATAATTAACAACTATTAATTAACCATGGTTAATCATAATTAACTATGATTAACTACTATTAACCATTGTTAACCATGATTAACCATTAGTAACCATTATTAACCATTGTTAATCATTATCAACCATGATTAACTACTATTAACCATTATTAATCATAATTAACTATGATTAACTACTATTAACCATTGTTAACCATGATTGACCATTAGTAACCATTATTAACCATTGTTTATCATAATCAATCATTAATCACTACAAACACCAAATCCAAACTTCAGACATCACATCTGCGACATTTGGCACGCCTTTTCGTCGCTGGATGAGGATCTTGTTGACCATGACCTGGGTTACCGGTGGGAGGTGTTTCTTGCTGACCATAATAGTTGACCACTATGAGAGTGGTTCATAATATATAAATAAAGGGGTTAATAATGGATAATAGTAGTTAATGGATGAGCGACCTTCCTTCTGGAGGATGTTCTGGGGTACGTATTTTTTGGTGCTACATCATCTACATCCTTTTTCTTGGGTGAAATAAACCACAAAAACTTAACACAAAGCACACATCGCCAATCCTGACGACATCTACTATATATGTAGCTTAATGGTTGATGGTCGTAGGTTGCTTAATGATGGCAAACTTATGGTAAATCTTGAGTGTTGGTTGGCCTTGATATGGCAGGTTGATAGTTCATCATGACAAATGATGGTGAATGATTGCAGGATAATGTCTCCACTGTTGGTAAGTTGACTGCTACTGCAGTGATGGCAGGCTGATTGTTGACTACGGCAGCTTGATGTCCACCGTAATGATATGGATCTCTGAACTCAAGGCCAACTACAGCAGTCTATCCATGCTCCTTCCCAAAGCATCAAACTCAAGGTGGTGCATCTACTGTAGAGCTTCATGCATGGTTGCAGGGGGCAACTTTGTTACAAAGGATAGTGGCACTTCCTCTGCTTTTCGACACCAGTAATTGGTTTTAACCTCTGGCAATCAATCGATTTATCCTTGATTTTCCCAGCTATAAACCTCCATTTAAAATCGGGGATTCCCCAGCTGTTTCATTGCCGGAGAGTAACCATTGTTGATCAGGATTAGCCATCATTATCCAAAATTATCCTTATTATTATAACTTTTAACTACATATTATCAAATAATCACTATTAGTTATCCATTAGCCACTATCATATCTATAATGTTTAATGATTGATAGTGGCTATTAATAGTGATTGATTATTATAATTATCCATTTCATTGGCCACTATCGATCACCATTAATCCATATTTTACCCCATGATTATTGGTATGTTATACTCCATATCATCCCAACATTGGAAAATAGAGCTGGAACTATGGGGTTTACCATATTTCTTTGCGATTCCTTGGCGTTCCACTATAGTTACCTACGGTAAGCAATACAACTGTTAACCACTATTAACCACTATTAAGCATCTATTAACATCTATGAATATCTATTAACATCTATCAACCTCTATGAACCACTGTTAATATAATTATCAACAGTAACCATATCATAACAACTATCTATCTATCCATAAAAAACATCTATCTATTAACACGGTTGGTGGTTTCAACCCCTCTGAACAATCTGAGGCTTATGACATTCCGCAACTGAATGCAAAGTCTTAAAAAAAAAATCATGTTATGTTCCAACCAACCAGAACCTCTATGAACCACTATGAATCACAAATACCCTCTAGTAATTTAACATAGCAATTGAAAATGGCCCAGTCGAAATAGTGGATTTTCCCATTAATAGCATGGTGGATCTTTCCATTGCAAAATGTTAGTTTACCTTTAACATAGCCATGGTATAGATGGCCCATAGAAATAGATGGTTTACCTGGGTTTTCCCATTCAAAATGGCCATTTTCCATTGCAAAATGTTAGTTCACCAGGCCGGGTACATCGGGTACATCCCATATCATCCGTCCATCCCATTGGTCACCGGGGTCACCGGTCCCACGAACTTCAGCTCCGTGAGTTCGGCGTGGCTGCAGCTGTTCAGCTTCGCCAGGACCTGCGGCAGCAGCGCTGGGGAAAACAATGGGAGTTATGTGGTTTGAAGCATCTGAAATGATGGGTTTATATAGATTTATATAGATTTATATAGATTTATATAGATTTATTTATATGTTTATTTATATGTTTATATTGAGATACATGAACTCTACATGAAACCTGATTTAATCTAGTGGTTTAGATGTGTATATATATATACATAGCCTATATAGTTCTGGACCAGTGCTGGCAGCCCATAAAGAGGCCCACGCACCCACTAATATATAGGTTTATATTATGAGATACATGAAACCTGATTGAATCTAGTGAAATCTGGATGAGATAGTTCAGGGTGGATAACATGATACAGTATTTGGGTGTGTGCAAGAATTGGAGGGGTCCCCGCTTTATGGCAAGTTAAAGTGGGTCAATGATAGGCCATATGGAATTCAGGGGTGCTACGGAAATCAATGGGGGCAATCAACCAGGATTCGGATTTGCTGTAACCAACGATTTGGCGCACCTACTTGACCCATCTATCTGGTGGTACCAAGGCTGGGTCAAAATGGCTTTCCCTCCAATAATCAAACCTGACACTAGCATACACTAGCAAACTCACGCAAATTCCGTGTGTTGTTTTTCGCATTTATTGATGATCTTCCTATACCTTCCCACTAAACCTCGAGATTTCCCCATATATTCCCATATCTTGCAGAAGATTCACATATATCACATATAAATTCACATAAATATATATATATATATGTATATATATATATGTATATATATATTGTATATATATATATTATATATATATTATATATATATTATATATATATATAATTATATATACATATATGTATAAATGTATATATCGCATTATACATACACGTATATTCCATTATATTCCCATATATTTGCCATAGATTTTCCATATTGATCAAGATATTTCGCAGTTCCCGTCGTGATCCCAGAACCTGGGCCAGGGCGCACCTGACTCTCCATCTCAGGGCGCACCTGTGCGACCAATCACCCCACCCCTACGCACAAACACCGCACAAACAGAACCCGTTTCGCCGAGAACATCTGCTAGGTTTTAAACATCTTTGGTATTAAGATTTATATTATATATATAGTATATATATATATTATTTATATATATATATTTAGATTTTTTATGGTGATTTAAGCATCATTTCTGTTGGTCCTCCAGATTTTTTCGGGATCCCAATCTATTTTTTCGATAATTTTATGCGTTATTTATCAAATTCATATTCTGTATTGCTAGATTGCTGGATTTGTTATGGTAACATACTTGGATAATCAAACACATAGATGTATTAGCTATTCCCCTGACATGGGTCCAGTTTTTTTTGAAAAAATGCTTGGATCCCACTGACATGAGGTGGTCTCTTCCTCAATTGAACCGATCAAAATACCCCTATCCCATTTCATTATACTAGTTCCTGAATAGGTTTCCGTACCATAGGGCCATAGGTTGTAAATGTTCCCCAATAACCCAGGTGGTATAATTCCCTATTTCATAACCAATCAAATATCATCTATCAATGAATGATTCCCCTTATATTCCCATTATAGATTCTTTTCAATCCACCTATCAAAAAGTCAACTTTTCCAGAACGGACTTGAAAATACAACCCCCAGTGCTTACCAGGTATATATATATGTATATATATATATATATATTCCCGGTGTATTCCCATGAGTTATTCCCATTTCTTGAGTGGCTCAATTTTCGATGACCCTTCGCCTGCGCCGGCGGAGTCGATGATCGACGTCGCTCCCGCAGGCCTCGCAGTTCCCGCAGCTCGCGCTGCCTCAGGTCGTTGCAGCTGGAGACTCCAGGCAGCGGGTCAAATAGTGATGGCAAATAAATGCTGATCATATATTAATTTAGTGGTTAAATATTGGCTAATTGAAAAATTGTGTGGTCAACATCACCCATATGGCAGTGTGTCAAAACCAATAGTACCCCTGTAGTTCACATCAAAATAGCTGGGATTTATGGATGTTCATTCCCCTAAAAATGGTATTAATAGGTATTGACCCATACCCATATTAATTTAGTGGTTAATCATGATAAATATTGGCTAATTGAAAAATGGTTAACAATTGTTTATATAAAAAACATACTGATTAAGCATGGTCAATTAGTGATGGTTAATTGATTATGGTTGACAATATACTATTAATTTAATATTGGTTAATTATGAATGGCTGGCTAATAATGATTGACAATGCTTACCCTCTGGTAAACGTTCACATAACTATGGACAATCACCATCTTTAATAGGTAAATCAATGTTTCATTTCTAATAGCAAACTGTTATGTAGTCCATTTTTAATAGGTAAATCAAATATTTCTATGGTCCACTTTCAACAGCAAACTGTTAGTCATTACCAGGGTACTTCAGGTGATCCCAAGCCTGACACACGACACACTGACATATCATCTGGAATTACCATCTGGTTATTGAACATAGCCATGGAAAATCACCATTTTTAATAGGTAAACCATCTATAAATGGGCCATCTATACCACGGCTATGTTAAATAACCAGAGGGTAGGCACATATATTCTGACCAAAAACATTCCTGACATGGCATATACTCTGACACTCGACAACTGACATTCTATCTGGTATCTATTCTAATACACTTTCTGGCATATATTCTGACATTCTTTCTGGCATTCTATTCTCACATTCTATCTTTTATTCTCAGAAAAGCCAAGATGACCAGCAAAACTGCAAAAGACTCGACCCACAATCTGAGCACTCTGCTGAGGGGTGATTTTCATGAATTTTATAGTCCCAATTATAGCGGCCTCAAACATCTCATGGTTGATTATCATTTTAGCTTTTCTATATTAATCTATGCCAAGAATTGGGGACTCAGTCACCACTTTTCGGACCAAACAACAAGTTGATTTTCGGACCTAAAATACGAAAACAACAAACATCTCAAGCCCTTCGAGGCTTCGTCACGGCTCACAATTTCCGTTGAATCCCCATGTGATTCACATGGACTTCCCCAGAACTTCCGTTTAACCGTCCCTTTTGCCGCCGCCTTTCAGCCGTCTCAATGATACCCACACCAAGGCTAGAAGACCTCGAAATCCAGTTTCTGAATGTTTCTGAAATCATACTCTGGACTCTGGAATATACTGTAGATGAATATAGAGACTCATAGCAAAGTTCAGCAAAGTTCAAAGGTCCAGTTTCAAGTTCCTTCATCTTGGCAGCCCCAACGTTGGCCCGCGCATGGGTGACCTTGCTGGTGGATCAGATTTGGGTGGCCTTTTGAAGACAATGGGCATACTACCTACAAATATCATACCAGTATGCCGGAAGAGGAGCAAAACATGTGAATCACTATTCAAGGAGGGGGGAGTAATTTTCAAGCAGCAATTCATCCCCGTTGTTTCCTGGTTGGTGGCTTGGCCTCCAAAGAACTTACGGTAGGTGGAATCACCATCCTAAGTAATGAGGTTGAACATTAAAACACCAAACCACCAACCAACCAACCAGTTTCGGGTTAGTAGGGTAAACTATGTGTTGTAAACAGTAAACATACAAAAAACTATGGAAAACCCATGACAACCCACGGTTTCCCGTTTGGAACATGATCTACAAATGAGTTGTTCGGCCCCAGAAACGTTGTTTTCACCAACTCGCAGCGCTGAGCTCTGAACGCCACATCCAAGACATGCTCAGTGGGCATAGTTGGCTCGCAGGCCACCTGCAAGCGTTAATCCCATGGGGACGACTCAGGTGTAAAATACGCACACGTCTGTGTATTTGTATATTCATCATACACGTATACTCATAATATGATCATATATACACATATTTTGATCATGCTCTGTCTGTATGTAGCGTATACAGTCATATTGTGTGTATATATATATATATGCAGCATGACATAGGCAGAAACTATGTGTATATTCACAATACAAGGGCCCTGACCAATTATGCGATGATATTCACTAATTATACTTTGGATGTGCCAATTCCTAAGAGGGTAATCAGCATATCACCCAGTTTCACATATTATATATTGAACCCCAAAGTAACTCCCAGAATTCCTTGAAGGGACATGTTACAGGCACCATATTAAATCCCCATTTTGAGTGGTTAAATCTCATTAAATCCTCACTTTTAGTGGGAACATGTTTAACTAAATCGTGGAAAATCCCCATTGAATCCCCATTAAAACCAATGATTTTGATGGTGAAATCCTAAATAAACCTCCAGTACACTAGCATAGCTATGAAGAATTGCCCATTTATAGATGACTTACCTACGAAAAAGGTTAAAAAGGATTAAGTGCCAAAAAAAAATTAACAAACAAAACAGTTTAATGTGAAATCCAATGTCATAAACCATCCCCAAGTCATCACCATTTTTACAGGTGCCATTTTGAACAATCCCCAGTCATGGTAGTATGGCATTGGCTTTCCGACATTATTGTTGTCAATATCCACTGTTAACCACTATAAACCATGATGCACCACTATTCAACACGATTTACCACTATAAACCATTATGAACTTGAACTGGTATTGAGCCACTATGAACCAAACAAAATATTGGGTTTCCAGCACTAGAGGGTACAGCAGCCGGAGCCAACCTCCATTACCTCCATGTGGCTTTCCTCGATCACCACTCCATCAGGCTCTGAACTCAGAGGCTCCTGGGAACGTCGAGTCGCCGTGGCACGCTGGCACGCCAAAAAAAGCCGGCACGCTAGGGAGGCTTGGGCACGGCTATAATGGGGATTTTGTATGAATAAATGAGGAGTGATCATGACACATAAAGTGATTTAGTATGGTTTAGTAATAGTCATATGATAAACTATCTTATATCATAAAAATTATTTATGGTAATATATCATAATATATAATATATAATATATGATAATATATGATAGTATATGATAATATATGATAATATATGATAATATATGATAGTATATGATAATATATGATAATATATGATAATATATGATAATATATGATACTCAATAATGTAATTCTCAAGAAATGTGGATTTACATTACATCCACACAAATGGCAATTTTACTTGCGACGATTAGGAAAATGATGATGCTGATGCTGATGATGCTGCTGCTGATGATGCTGCTGCTGATGATGATGCACCATTGGTTTTCGGAAAGGCCTGTTGTGAGCGGTGAATTTCAAGCTTTTGGGGTAGGGTAGACATTCAATGAATAAATCCACAACAACAATTCGTTCCATATGTAGGGTCAAACAGTCCGTTCTCACTGTCGGCTACCACACGTCTCTTCACAAAACCATGTGTTTGTCACTGCAACACTATGTTCTGTCTCACTTCCACTTAAGTTAGTCGCTTAAGATTAATCCTGATTAATCCTGATTAATCAATCATGATTAAAAAAACGGAAAAAAAAAAGTGTCCACAATAACTGTACTCTGACCTCTGGACTAGTTGCCAAACCTTTTTTTGTTTGTTTGTTTGTTTTTTGGGTTTTCTCGCGGTTTTGGTCTGATCCTCATTAATCTGGATTAATCCTGATTAATCCAGATCAGAACCTTCTACTTCATGACTCCGGCACTTAGTTCTGGCCTTCTTTTCTCCACATTTTGATAAAATCAGATGCTCAGAGAGCAATTTTGTATTTCATCTAGCTTTCTGAAGGGTTTGGCACTTTTCAAAAAATGCAGCAACAATTGAACCAAAATAAAGCAAACAAAGTGCACTTAGGATATGGGTTCAGCATTTTGTTGTATACAAGCACCCAACATCTATGAATCCAAGTCGCATTTTTGTAAGAACGTGATATTCCATAAAGAGAGTGCCGCCTGACTTTGTGCATTCCCTTTGAAGTACTGCAATTTCTGTTTGAAAAGAGTGCAGTAATATGTTGAAAAAGACCTTCAACACATACAGGATTGCATAGAAAGCATGGAGCCTGCTACTGACAGATTCCAACACCACTTCAAATTCAGTTTCATTTATATATGCGGTGATCCGTTCTAGTGATCATGGCATTCTTTGAAGAGAACTTGTCTTAACTATCTGGAATATGTCCCTTCAAAAAAATGCATCATCTCTTTGAAAAAGGTGCAACATCCCCTCAAACATTAAACCCTAATTTCAAATTTCAAGATGGGGTTCTTTTGTGTATATAGTGGTCCTTTTATCAAGGGTCCCTTTATCAAAAGAGTATGGTATTTCTTGAAGAATGTGTAAAACATCTTCTTTGTTCTTCAAATAACATAACCTCCCTGAGTGAGATACAATATTTTCTTCAGACAATGGCACTTTATTCCAAAATATAATCCTTTTGCATATGCAGCACTCTTTCTGACATGATATGGAATTCCTTTGGAATCAGGCATTATTTTGGGGAGTACCCTCTGCAAAATGATGGACGCAATTGATTAAGAAGAATGCACACTTCTTTCATATCCGATAAAAGAAATGCTTCCTTTAGAGAAAGAGCTGGTCTTAAGAATATAACAAACAAGGAAGACTGAACCTGTCCAATAGGAATACTAGATGCGTCAAGAAAATTATCTTCTATTTTTGCTGGAACATGCTTCTTTGATCCACAGAATGCCATATTGTCTGATAGAATAACTGCCATCTGTAAGCAATATAGTCATCCTCACAGGATTTTCAGGGAATATTGTGCTGATGCATTTCACTTTTTGACATAGATTCTGCCTAAAACATTGGCTGCAAGCTAAAACACACGCTTTATATGGTGCAGGATTATTGCCTATCATTTGGAAGAAAGTGCCCTTTTTCAAAAGGAATGCTGCATCTTTTAAAGGATGCCTCCATAATTTGTAGGGGTATTGCGTGTTGAAAAAAACATTTAATTTTATCAAAGGACAATTGCAAAAGCATGACAAAAGCTTCTTTGCAAGCAGGGGAGGCTTCATTGTTGTATTTAATATATTTTAATATTACATCTAGAACAGGAATTCAATGTGTTAAATTCATGCTACATACTACAGAAACATATATCCCCTGCAAAGGAAGGCTGTACTTCGAGGGAAATCCTGCATTTTGGAGAAACACACGTGATATTTTGCAAGGGATAGTGGAAAGGTTCATGCAACTATGTCAATGGTATTAAGGTGCAAATATATATATATATTTCTATATATTTCAATATATTTCTTCCTGAATTGTGTGTATTTAAAATGATCCTTTACCATTACCTTCTGACTCTGATGCATCTAATACATTGCATTCAATAAGGGCAACACAATCCACAAGGTGACTCTTAAACAATGGGGATTGCATGGAACTAGATTACATCCAAGAGCTCCTCAATAAACACCTGACCTTCTGGTTTGTTGGCATTTTTTTGTACATAGTTGGGTGGAAAGTAGGGGTTTTAAAGTGCAATCTGTTCATATCTGGATTAATTTTATTTAGGATTTACGAAAAAGAATGCAATTTTCTGCCGCTCACAACAGGCCCCTCCCTTGGTTTTTGGGCTGCAGTGGGAATGAATCAAGTATATGATTGAATAGTTACAATAGTTGGAAATGGATGGATATGGTGCAAATTTCAAACCTAGGGCTCACAGAAGCTACGTAGATAAAACTTAAAGTAACGTGTCAGCATTTCTTCCGGAAACTATTGCGTCATCTGGGTCATCTTCAACCTTCAAACGATACCTTGCAAGTGTTAAGTGGCAAACACCAGCACATAATCTCCAACAAAACCAGCCGTTGGCTGCATTTCGCCCTCAGCTATCCTAAGCGAAAAAGTACTGTAACCTTAGTTAGAATATCTTAGACACCCTTTGAACATCCTTAGATTACCCTCTGGTAAACTAACATAGCTATTGAACATTGCCCATTTATAGTTGATTTACCCATTAAAATGGTGATTTCCCATAGTTATGTAAACGTTTACCAGAGGGAGTAACCCACATCGATCCCCCTTTGAAATCACTGCCCTTCCACAAAAATCCAGAAAGGCCTGCCCCGGCACCACTTTTTCTTCCCGGCATGGGCCAGCTACTCACATCGATCTCCGGCAGATTCCCTGCGCCCGGCAACTTGTAGCAGATGCACGAGGCGTCGTAGTCGGTGCTATCGGATGGCACATGGTCCAAGAAGTTGCCATAGACGTCCTGGGCGCAGTGGTCAACGGTCATCCCACCGGGGGGGCGACCAAAAAAAAGCGGCGGCTTGGACCGTCCATTTTTGAGGGAACATCCATTGAGATGATCAACTAGTATCAACTATTTGGATGGGTTTCACCCATTTTTTTGAACCAATATGAACCAATGTATCAGGGGGATGGAACGTGTTGGAACCAATATGGTTATATGGTGCTACAATACAATCAGCCATCGGATTTCGATGGATCAAAAAACCTCAAACCAACAAGGATGGAGATTTTCCTGGCGCAAAACGGTTTCGAACATGTCGAGAAAAATGGAAGGTTGGACTCTTAAACAATACATACTTAAAGGGTGTTAAAGCGTACAAGGTTTCTACCTTGATTTTTGGAGATTTTGAGCAGATTTCGTCAGATTTCAATATCCCCAACCAAAGTCAAAGGGATAGGATGGGAAAGGCATTAAGGGACAAACAAAGGGCCATTGTATTTTTCTGCCATCATTGATTGAAATCATTGCAAACATCTTTGATGCAGGGCGGTTTGAACCTGTTGAGACTCAAGTTGGAGTGAAATGACATGAATGTGTCAGCTGCAAACATATTTTTCATAGCCTTTGCTTCAACTCTCCTCACCAGTTGAAAACCGACTTCCAAAAAAGGATGCTCACCGAATTATAACTGGTGGACACCATTGACACCATGATTCACTTTCGCAACTTGCGGTTGACCCCATTCCATATTCCCATATCTTCCACCGATCTTCCCAACTTTTGCCCTCCAGTAAATTTTCACATAGACCCTGCCAGATAGGGGTTGGAAGGCTAGTTTCCACCAAACATATCAAAAATTGATTAAAAACATGATCATTTTCAGGGTCTATATGTTAATTTACCAATGGGATCCAAACCCATAGGATCCATGTATGCTATATATGGTAACATTTACCATCAATATACCCCAAATGTTAGCATATATACCATACATGGATCCTATGGGAATGGGATCCAAAGGGTAGATCTTAAATCCCAGAGGCGGAATGCCACGAGCGATATCTCCGCGGCGCCGTCTCGATGCTGGGTGAACTTTGCCTCTGGATCTCTGGATTTCCGGGGCCCAGTGGGCCCTCTTTCGGGGCTTCCAGCAGGGGAGTGGTCAACATCACCCATGTGGGGATGGGTCAAAACCGTGGTACCTGGTGAACCTCAAGTCATAGCTGGGATTTATGGATGTTCATCCCACTAAAAATGGTATTAATAGGTATTGATCCATACCCATTTCTCCACAGTAAATACCAACCCAATCTTGACAGGAACAACCATTTTCAACTAATGTTCATTTAATTTCTGCATCTTTCTCTCCACACAACTGGCGTTTTTGCCAACCTACCTGTGACCGTGCCAAGCGACACCACCAAATCTGCGAGTTGTGCCAGGCTCTGGCAATGGTCAAAGCCTTAGACAGCTGAAGGCGCTCTCTCTCTCTCTCTATCTCTCTCCATCTACACTGGAGGGGATCGCACATGTCATATCAATTGTTCTTACCAGGTACAGTACCAGTAAAGTAGATCATATAATACATGTAATTGTATGTATATATATATAATATATACACATTAATGTAACACGCCAAAATGGAAAAATATGTTGGTTGCTGTATTGCAGATTTACGGTATCTGGGTCTGTCTGAAAATAGGGTACCCCTAATTCCATTGATGAAACATAATTATATCTATCAACATTGCCATTTTAGGGAATATAAACCCCTGTCAGCGGCCAAGAGGCTCTTCAAATTAAACTGTGTCTTGAAGCTGCCGTTGCACCAATCCCTGGCGTGTCCCAGGTTGGACCTTGAAAAAATACACATGAAGAACAACATGAAGGAACCATGGGAAACAATTGGACACCAACCAGGTCAGGGAATGTTTGGTGGAATTGTCTTCCAACATTGGCAGAATCGGTTTGTCTGAAAATCGATGGTTTCCCCAAATCCATTAAGGAGTACAATCATTTTCCCTTCCGCAGATTGCCATTTAGGGATATTTAGAGGTATACCGGTATACCCAATAGACACAGCCAATACCTTAACGGTCTTCGATCGCACAATCCCATGAATATCCCATGGCCTCAACAAGAGTCGTGTAACGCCATTCTCCTCCAAGACCGAGGTGGGCTCGGTGCCCTGAAACTCCACCTTTTTACCTCACGGCTGCAGTGCGACTCAGTGCGATCTGATGATCCCAAAAAACCATATCGAAACTGGCAAAAAAGGCTTATCCGTCCCTGAAAGGCCATACAAAAAACGGTCATTTAACGATCTGTTGCAAAATGAAGTTCCCATGTATGTTGCAAAACAGTTGTAAGAACCTCATTTGTTGTTGAACTTGGGTGTGTCTGAAAAATGGGGTATACAACCAAGCAGCAATTTGAATACGATATTTTGATGGAGACAATGGGGATCAACTGAAGGCAACTCTGGGTTCATCCCCATCTTCATTGCTTTCACACTTCCATATACCATTTGGTTATTTGACGGTGTGCCATGGAAAATCACCATGTTTAATAGGTAAACCATCTATACATGGGCCATCTATACCATGGCTATGTTGAATAACCAGATGGTAGTCAAACAGTCAAACCTCTGCAAGGCTCTGGGGTTCATACCATTTGGCAGCTATCCATCCCAAACCTCAACAATCGATGGTCCTGAAGATATATCGACCCAACCCCAACATCGCTAGTTTGGTTGACATTTCAATTCATTCATGAACTTTCAATCAAATTTTCTGGGATCAAAATCAAATCTCGATCTTTCTTGCTTAAACCACCCATCTCCATCCATGTCTGGGTCTGAATATATAATCCCAATTCCCATGGTAACCTCAAATCCTCATTCTCATGGCAGTGACTTCCCTAAGTACCCGAAGGTAGCTAGTTAATGGATGGTTATTCCAGTCATATGATGGTAATATCATAGGTTTTGACCCATGCCCACATCTTTATGTTTTGCCCGTTTTGCCCTGATTATAATTCCATTGTATCACTATGATAATCTATGATATATATATATATAAATACAACATTATACAATATACCCTCTGGTTATTTAACATAGCCATGGTATAGATGGCCCATTTATAGATGGTTTACCTGGGTTTACCTATTAAAAATGGTGATTTTCCATGGCTATGTTAAATAACCAGAGGGTATATTGTATAATATTCCCATGACTCCCGGTCTTTCCATGGCTTCCAAGGTGCCCGCTCCGTTGGCCCAGCTCAACCTGCTGAGCTCCAGCAGAAAGTCCCGACGGTGCTGGCGCTTGCGAAAGCCCATGGAGCTGCCCAAGTAGAAGGTGAAGGCCACGAGGCCGGCCAGGATCACCTTGCAAAACTGGCGACTTGTTCCGAAAATAGCTGGATTATCATCATATATCTGGATATATCTGGGTAAATTCTGGATATATCTGGATATATCTGGATAAATTCTGGATATATCTGGATAAATTCTGGATATATGATATATATATATATGGATATCTCTGGTTGATTTTACCATCAAACAATATCAAACATGGTGGATTCGTTGGGAAACTTCACATCGTTGCCCATCCTGAACCGACAAACATAGACGTCGGCAGCATTGCCACACAAGAGAATCCAAAGTCGATTCACATATTTTAAATCCCCATTTTTCTCCAGAAGCCCGAAAATTCCCAAAAAATATGGGTCCATAGAAGTTGAACATAGTACAGTAACTGGTCAGTACTCAGTAGTTGGATTTATAATCCATCTATATAGTTTGACTACTTTTCTGGATTCCGACCCAGCTAGCAAAGATTTCTGCTAAGTCCATTGATCAAGCAGAATAAAACATTGTATTTGGTTGAAGAGGGAAATACACAGCACCCACCTTCTATACACAAATATCAGGGCAGAACATATGGGGATTTGTATGTCAAAAACATATGCTGGTTGGTGGTTGCATTTTTTTTGTGTCAACCATAGACATGGGATGATGATCCCCAAATCCCCCCCAAGTAAAATCGGGGGATGTCAACCACCAACCAGTAATTGTTGAGAGTCAAATCCAAATGTAGATGGTTAAAATATGTTAAAATCATCAGCTTTTCAACGTGTTTTTTATTGTTACAGTAAAGCCTGTGTTTTCAGCATGTGTGTTTGTTAAATCAACAATTTCGTTGGTTAAAGCACCATGTTTGATCATTTGTTCATAGTTAAATCCATGATTTGGATGTTTGAATCACAATTGTTCACCATTTTCCATAGTTAACTCCACCACTTAAGTGGCTGAACCCTTCGTTTTTCACCGTTGTTCATGCTTGAACCTTGTTATTTCCTGTCATTACAGTGTACTTAGGCAACCACTTGAGGAGATTTACCAACCATAGGCAAAAAACCCCAAGCAACTTCCCGGCTTGGAGATGCCATATGATGCCATGGCCACGGCCACGGCACTCGGGTGGGGATGAGAGAACTGATCAGCAGCAGAATCGCCAAGAGCCACGCCATGATGGACGAAATGTCTCGGTCCTTCCAGGTGATCAAGTTCCTCCGTGTCGCGGCGCAACGATGCGCAACGGATGCGTTGAACGCAACGGATCTAGGGGACCGGTGAGCACTGCCAAGGAGGTTGAAACCTCTGTATTGTTATAGGTAGATATGAGTGATTATGATTATGAATGACTATGATATATTCATGACATGTACACACATCATAGAGTTGTTCGGATCGTGTTTACACATGAATTAAGGTCACTGTTATTGGCAGATACGAGTGATCTTCGGCAGCTGGGCTCAGATTTCAATCAAGCAGCTTGTGCTTCTCCAACATGCTGAGAACAAAGTCAACCTGAATGTTTGGGCGGGGGTTCTCCTGATCTCGGATTTACGTGGTTTTTCAAACATGAACAGTTCATCAAATTTCGATTGAAACAGTCAGTAGAAGCAAGTGTCAATCCCAATCGAATCATGAATTACCAAGCGTTTTGGATCACAACTTGTGCTGCATCCCATCACAACCGGAATGGCTAAAGATTCTGACTGTGGACATGAAACAGAGTCGAAATGATTCGAATGATTCAACGTCATTCTGGATGTCCTGGATAAGACAAGGTAAAATGTGGTAAAATCTGGTTGGTGGTATACCTAACCCTCTGAAAAATATGAGTTCGTCAGTTGGGATGATGACATTCCCAATATATGGAAAGTCATAAACCATGTTCCAAACCACCAACCAGATGGTAAAATCCTAGGTTCGAAGCCAGGTGATGTCAGGTGTTTGTCTGCACTGACCAGTGGGGATGAGAGTCCTGAGAAACAGTACTACGAGGCTTGCGGAGAAGTGAAATGATAAATCATTATGTAAGAACATGGTTTAGACATTGTTAGACTATGTTAGACTATTTCAAATAATTTTCATTCAATGACTTTGCTCATGAAGTATCATCTAGAATAGACCCTCACATCGAATGCATTGTGGAGTTTTCAAGGAATGGCAAACCCCCGCTTGGCTCATTAAACATTGAACCGCCCACAATAAGTCACTCTCACGCATATGTGAGGTGCAACAAGCTGTAGGTGTCAACCTCCCCAACAAGCTTGTTGTTAAAAAATAAAATAATGGTTTGCAGCCAGCTCTAGCTATTCTTCGGAGGGATAGTCAAATCTGTGTCATCGTGGTATGTCGAAAAACTTCCCTGTCTACGCAAAGCATGGTCATAAATTCCACTGCTCGCCGCAACCCCCAGGAAAAAACGGCCGCTTCATCCAAACCGCATCATTGCGAATCGAGAGGTAGAGCTTCACATATCGATTCAGCCTCACAGACAGAAGGAATGCCAATAAAGGTTCTGATCAATTCAATTCCATCACTGATATTCGCCGATCATCTATTTGCATGGCCATTTACATGCGATCCCAAAATGATTAGAGAAGTAAAAACCTATTGACATAGTGGCAGATTACATGTCTGTCTTTGGGGTGACTATCATACATCAAATATTTTTGCCTGTAAATTCCCCATTGCCAGCAATCCCCGTTTCTGGACAATCCCAGAAATTCCCAAAAATCATATTCCTGTATATTCCTGTTGTTAATCAAATCTCATGTGTATATATATATATATATATCCATGTTTCAAGGGTTTCAATCTTTATTCATACTTTGGTTTCTTCCCACCCAAAAAACACATCAAACACAAGAAGAACCACACATTTGGGTATGGATCAATACCTATTAATACCATTTTTAGTGGGATGAACATCCATAAATCCCAGCTATGACTTGGGGTTCACTACAGGATGGTGCCCCCCAGTTATAAGTTGGTTCATAAACCCCATTAAGTATAGTTATATCTGCCATAAACCGTAGTTATGGGAGTTATAAGCCAACTTAGCTAACTATGGGGCACCACCTTGTAGGTTACCAGGGTTTTGACCCATCCCCATTTGACATGTCCGTCGTGATTTTTTATGCCAGGTCTCTGGTCGTTCTCCGTCAAGGACGACTCCACCGGTGCCTGGAGGCCCTGGCTCTGCTCGGGCCGATCCTCCGCGTAGGGCGGCGTCCTGCCGGTGGGTGGGCGAGAAATGCTGGCAAGAACTAAGCAAAAAACAGAAGAAACACATGCAAGGTGGTGCCCCATAGTTAGCTAAGTTGGTTTATAACTCCCATAACTATGGTTTATGGTAGATATAACTATAGGTAATGGGGTTTATAAACCAACTTATAACTGGGGGGCACCATCCTGTGTGTTTTGAGATGATTTAAGCATGACATATGGGTAATTTGAACATCAAACAATATTTTCTATATGGGGCATTATGGGGCTAGGGGAACTAAGATGAAATAATGATATGTCATCGGATAAATGTCCAATCGTATGAACATATAGTCAATAATATGGATGTTCACATCATACCAAATACATCTAAAATCATCTAAATACCTAATAGCAAGACATGGTTAAGAAATCTGTTAAGATTCCCCCTAGTGGTTGAATCGATTGAATCCAAGCGGCTCGGCATCGGCCAAGGCCACACATCGGCCGTGGTGCTGACGCCGGCGTACCCAGGTTTGAACCTCGGTGCTTGAGCCCTGAAAAAGATACGCTGGTCAATTGGGGATCATCATCTGAAGTAGGGCCTAGTAGGGTTGAGAAAAATATGTGAAACCAGCAATCATCAATATGATAATATGATGATATATGCAAACATAGGGATTTGAGCAACGAAAACTCATGATTTATGTACTGTAGGTAAGAAATTCGGAACTTAGCGACGGCCAACAAGAATGCGTGCTTCAAACAACAAATGGAGATTTTAGCTTCAAGGACAAAAATGGGAATGTGATTTCATCAACAAACAATCGTGATCTAAGATGCTGGTTTTAACCAAGAGAAAAAGGGTGTTGAAATTAAAGCAAGTAAAATGTGTGATTTAAGAAATCTTAATGGGGGAGTTAACCAAAGTTACAGTAAACAACTAAAATTTGGTGGTTCAAGCAGCAAAAATTGGGACATCAAATTTGGTGATTAATTCATATCGCCAACCAACGTGGGATTTCAACCAACGACCATGGGGATTTGGCTACAGCGACAAACATGGTCTTTTACACAGGAGAACATGAAAGTTTAAAAGCAACAATTGGGTTGTACCCTCTGGCAATTTAACATAGCTATTGAAAATGGTGATTTATAATGGATTTACCCATTGAAAATGGTGATTTTCCATAGCTATGTTAGTTTACCAGAGGGTAAGCAACCAAAATCCGGATTGAACCATAAATGGGGAGAACATGGGAGAACAAGATTCACATGCAAACGTGGTTTTTCCCATCTAAATATGGTTCCAAACGAGTGACCGTATCCATGGTATGCCGCCATTGGGCATCTTGAGTGAAGGCCTTGGCCGTTTGCAGGTCAGAACACCAAGTGCCCAAAGACCATGCAGCATCTTGGTCTTTTCAACGCTATCCTGGCGACTAGTGACTAGCACTGGAAGAAGTAGCAACATGGGTAGTATGTCATCGTTGACACCCTTTACTCCCCGTAAGGCATTTTCTATATCATCGAAGGGATCTCTCCCAGGATTGTGCGTGATCACCGTCATACATCTCAATTCATGGACTTTCGCAACAATCTCATCATGAAACAGCTCGAACCATCCTCTCATAAGCCGAGGCCACGACAAAGGCGTATTGCCAGCCATTCTCATCAGTATCTGCGTTAACAACCACCTGTCCAGGATGGCCACACGAGGTAATCCTTTTCCTAGCGCACCATTCTTGGAACTCACATTTGGCATCACAAGCTGATACGAAAGTCTCTTTCAGACAACGCTTCGATCCATAGCGGTCCAGCTCAGTAAATGGTATCCCCGCATCAAACCCCGCCCCACGCCGTAGCCACCTTCCATTGGTAGCGATATCTTTGGCCACCAATGAAGATGATGGCCTCTCACCATCCACATGGCAATGGAACCTCATCTACAAGTAGATTGAATATCAACAAAGGAGTTCATTGCCAGGTTTGAATACTCATAGCCAAAGAATACCTGCAGGAGTCCTCAAGAAGTCCTCGAGAAGCTGGGAATCCAAACAAAAAAAGGCAACTCACCTGGGTTTTTCCGTACCGATTTCCGGCCTGTGGACCACCACATTCTTGGCCATAACCATTAACCCAAGGAGGCACATCAAAACCTGCCGCAGATTTTGATCCTTGACACATCTATATATAGCCGAGGCATGTCCAATGTGTTTTGGTCACAGAAGACATGTTCACAACTAGGATGGCCAATCATCACATATCATATATTGTCACTTAGCAATGACCATACATACTTACAAAAACCTGACGTTGGCAAATAAGCATATGTTACGGTCAGCTCGCATCCTATCCGGGTAATGTTTCTGTTCGAGCTTCCACAATGATGATCCCTGCATTTTCTGAAGCAACATTAGCCATTCCCCCACATATCACATATAAAATAATTCAAAATACATCAACAATGTGTCCCATATAATATCTCCAACATATATATATATATAATTATATATATATATATATCCCATATAATCTATTAGATCCCATATAAATCCATATAATATATCCAACCCCAACAATAAATAGATCCAATATGATCCAATACTAAACACTGAAAAAACCTTGATGCACTTCTCTTCCACCATTGATCGACATTGTAGATCCACGAACAAAATGATTCACACCCAATGGGGGCAGTCTGAAACCAGGGTACCCCAAGACGTCATGGATGCAAATCATCATGTGTGCGACATCATTTTGCATTTATTTGCTTCAATGTTATCCCTCATCTTCAGACATTATCACATTGTTTAAACAACGACATTTGTGTCCCCCAAAAAAATACAGGCATAAACATGAATCATTCACCACTATTCTGAGACTCGGATGTGACTTTGCTAACTTTTTTGGGAGTTGCCCAGGCCACCCATCACAACTCACGGTAGGATCACATCCGTCATCTGGTTCGGCTTGGCTTCCGGGGCGCCATCAATCAAATAGTCCGCGCTGAAGCCTCCAAACATCCAGCGCCGTTCCTGGGAAAGGATACCCTAGGGTAAACTAACATAGATGTGGAAAACCCATGGGGGAATCCCCTGGAAAATAGTCTGCCAATGGCTGGATTTTTCACATCTATGTATGTGAGTTTACTCTCTGGATTGCCCTCTGGTAAATTAACACATCGATATGGAGAACCCATGGTTTCCGTTAAGACAATGATCTATCAATGGTAGGTTTGCCGTTGATTTACTGGAGAGTATCACAATTTTATATCAATTTATGATAATTTATGACCATCAAATAATGGCAAAATCCTGACAATGCTTTGGACTTGGGGTGTCCTAGTTCCAGAGAAATCCCCCACTGGTATAGCCCAGAGGTTCCGTGCACCTTAAAGGCATATGGGTATGGGTCAAAATTAGGTACCCCAACAATTGGATGGTCAATACTAAACTAGACTAACATCTGTGGTCCCCTAGGTCTTCCATTTTGACCCACATCCATATATTTCTTGGGGCCATGTTGCAGAGAAAACCAAGGGGTGGTTTCAACCCATCCAAAAACACCGGGATCCAACCACCGCCACGTGGCGTTGAACGATGGTTGATACAAACGCTTAGTGGTTGATTGAAGCTCCATGAAAACCATCTATTTCTATGGGCCATTTTCCATGGCTATGTTAGTCATAACCAGAGGGTATATCTAATTTGGGATGATCCACATCCATATGCTGTAAATATCTGTAAATAACAATAACTGATTGGTGGATACTATTCGAATCTTGGTGAGGATTGGGAGGTAAGGCATTCCCTGAAAAAGATCAAACGACTGTTGGGTGGCGACTTATTCATGGCATGTTCATAGATTTTCATGGCTGTGTGGAACACAAAGAACATGTAAAAGGCCCAACCAGCTTTGACCAACGTCGGATCGAAGTGTCAGCTTCCCACGTCACGAGGTCAGGCGGCTCTGAACACGAAGCTTCAGGGTGAAAACTGTTTCTCCTACGAGGCGACGTGCGGCACAACGATGTCTGTGTCGCCAGTCGGGTTGGCATTTTAATAGGGAATATGATGACAATTTAGGGTACTGTATACTATTTGGACATATTTGGACTATGTATGATGTTGCTACAGATTGTTTGCTTCTTGGATTTTAGCGTGTAATTAAGTATAATTTCAAGGGTGAGTTCAAAGAAGTATATCCCGATGTTTGGTTGGTAAATCCTCATCATTCATGATATCCCTATGTTTATGCAGTCTCAGGTCAACAACAAGCTATTTAACCACCACATTCTGAGACATCCCCATTTAGGTTGGTGCATGCCCATATGTTTTTTTTTTTACTTGCCTCCATGGGCCCGAGAATCGTCCCAATTTGGGTTGCTGTTTCTAATGTTTTTCCTAATGGATAGCAAATTTCCCAATTGCTTATATATATAGGATACAAGTATACAACCTTAATGATGATAAACTTCAACTGGCGGTATCCCATCTCTATATATATATATGTATATAGATATGTGGATGCTTATAAATGGGTTGGCCATGGTTGTGACTGTGGTCTAATAAAGCTGGGATGGCCACGTGGCGTGGTTGGCAAAGGAGGAGTATATACTATATCCCATAGGATCCATGGTGCTGCTATATACGGTAACATTTGGGGTATAGACGGTAAATGTTAGCATATATATATAGCATACATGGATCCTATGGGTATACCAATACATCCCCTTTTGTGAGGTGTAAAATATTGTAAAATCACCACTCACTCACTGACCAGAGCTAGCTAAGCTCATTGGTGAAATCCAAAATGTTGATGCCAAAGAGTCTCTGAAAAAATATTCTTCTAATACGCCAACATTTCGCAACTTTGATGCTCACATCCCAACCCTTCAGCATGTTCAATGTTAAATCATGGTGAAATCATGGTTACCCTCTGGTTATTTAACATAGCCATGGTATAGATGGCCCATAGAAATAGATGGTTTACCTATTAAAAATGGTGATTTTCCATGGCTATGTTAGTTAAATCATGGTTCAATCCATCCACGGGGCCACCAGCTCTGCCTGTGCTTCCGCTCAAAGCGCCAGTGCTCCGGTAGCGGCTCCACCGGCAGCGTCGCCGCGGTCGCAGGTGCCGCAGGTGCCAGGCGCCGGCGCAAGTCCAGGGTGCGTTTCCTGAGTTCCGGCCGGGGCAAAGGCGGTGGCTTCGAGGAGAACTCGGGTGCTGTTTTTTGGGAGAAACTATGGATAAATATATGGGAAATATCATGGACAATGCATCAGATCATGAGAATATCATGGACATATCATGGGATATAATGAAACATGATATATATGAATACAAATATATATATATATAAATAATATATAATAATATAATGGGGCTGGTCTTTCTCCATGGCTCCATGGATCATTTTTTGCAGAAAACTCTTCGGTGCGGCAACAATCACATGGAGAAATCACATGGGTTATTCAGCATAGTAGTCAACCAAGCAATAGGAAAAGGATATCTAGAGGATTTTAACAAAAATTGCTGTCAAGTTTCCCATTTTTGGTGCTTAAACAGCTATGATAGCTGAAGTTTCAACCGCACCAAACGACCCAGCCCCCAAACGACCGACGAGTCTCAGCAGCAATGCGAAGATGATGGGGAAAGACCATCTCCAAAGGAAAAGAAACCTTGGGATGATCCAATTCACCTACCCCCTGGGCTGTTGAAAATCATCATTGTTAATGGGTAAAACAACTATTTCTATGGCCATTTTCAATAGCTATGTTAAATTACCAGAGGGTAAACATGCCATTAAGTGGTTTGGTACTGCATGGTACCATCTATAAAGCCCTCCACTTTGTGGTGCGATCTATTGGGACCATGGAGGTAATTACTCTGCTGAATATGGTGAATATATGTGACTTTTCATCAAATATCATCAAATTTGGGTATGAGATGGTACAGCATGGTCTAACCCGACAGCTAAAAGTCATTTTCTTGGCCTCCTCGCGGCGACCGAGTACCGAGACACCAAAGCTCCATGAAGAGAAACCACAGCAAGGAGTACCAAAAATGTTCCCACTGGATCACAAAGATGACGCTATTCTGCCTCGGCTGCAACTGGAATAAACTGGAATAAGCTGCAAGTGGAAGGTCTTATAAGGCGTGTAGGTAGGTGGACCGTTTGAACATGGCTGATGATGATGATGATGATGAAATTCCTGTTGATCATCAAACATAATTCATTAAACATATCACCATTGTTGATGGTTAAAAACACCGATATATCATTAAATCAAGGTTTAACATGGTTGTTACATGTTGTTACCTTACCTCAATATTCAAGATCAATCTCTTCTGGCAGGATTCATTGCAAATACTCTCATTCATGGCCATCAACACTCGACTGAGACACACCTTCTGCCAAGCTTATATACAGTGCAAAAGTATGCAACAATTGCATTTCCCGACTGTAAATCAGATGTTCAACGGCTATTGATATTGATTGAAACCTGAGTACTCTGGTGAACCTGAAAATAGCCGGAAGTTGTGAATTGTTTGTCCAACCCCAAACCTCGAAACGATTTGATTTCTCGACTTGTTTCGTCTTTACCTACTCAACCACCAACTCCACACAGAAGCTAAGCCAGGTGACCATCGGACAAAAACCATCTGGATCAGTTCCACCAAACGACCTGGGACCGATGCGTTTTTCATCGTTTTTGGTTGCGGACTACCCCAATATGTGGATAAAGTGACAAGCCAACGGAAAGCATTTTGTGGTCGAAAGCTGGACCATGGGCCGCCCTTGGGTTTCATTGTCTATCTGAGTCTATCTTGTAGAAGTGGAGCAATGCTGCATTGAAGGCTTTTGCTCCGAAAACACTCCAATCATCCCCAAAAGTGATATCGTCATTATTGTAGAGATTTGTAGAGAATCACATCAACAACCTGAACTTCATTTATAAAGTGATCCACTTGCACATGTCACTTCAACCTTTGTCAAGGTATTCTTTTGAGCCAATGTTTCACAGCTGACAAAGTTGGGCCACACCAACTGATGTTCATGGTCCGTAGCTACTTCGATGTTCAAGTTGGTCAGTTACTGATTAGCAATCATACTTACAGCTTACAGTTAATTAACACTTGAATCCACTTGTGAACAGGATCTGTTCACTTATCTTTGGGCAATTCACCACTGGACCACTTACAAACCGGATCCCACGCACTTCAACGTACCCGAAGTGATTGGATTCGTTGACGTGTTTTGTGATAGATGTAAAACTTCCAGATTTTCTTGGATAAAACATAGTTTCTTGTAGATTAAGGGACATGTTAATTGCATCTCCATGATTGCTGAATCCTCGTCCATTGATATGGTTGAAGTTCCACTTGTTGGTTAGAGCAACTATTGCCGTTAGAATGTTGTATTCCCTTCCAATCAATCCAGTCTTGGTGAAATCTCATGTTGGATGTGTTGGATTGTCTTTGTTCCATCCCCTGATTCCCTGTAAAAAGGCCAGGCCATTGATAGGATGATTCCCCATATCAACATCTGAAGATCCCCAAAGATCCATGGTGTTCTCGAACACCATCTTCACACTGACCATGGAAATCTTTGGGCTTTGGGCTATCCACCATTTTCAATTTGAACAAATAACAATCGTGATAGAGATACCATCATCACTCTTGATGGCCAAATCGCCATCTTCTTGTAGATCCTTTTGGTTTCTTCCTGAGCTCCTTATTTTCTTTCGGCCATTTCTGATTGTTAAAGCAATTCAAATACCCCAATCTGGCTGGCTGAAGAGCACATTTTCCAGCATTGTTGATGATTAAATTTCTCATTATTTCAATCCACCAATGTTGACCTACCCTCTGGTTATTTGTTACATAGCCATGGTTTTTCGATGGCCCATAGAAATAGATGGTTTACCTATAAACAATGGTGATTTTCCATGGCAAACTGTTAAATAACAAGATGGTACTAACCAGGGTTATTACAGTAACCACTTGCCAAGTGAGGTGATCCACCAATGCTGACCTATATTTTGATGCTGAATCCTCCCATTTTTCAGGGCTGAAACGGCCACCGCGGCACTGATCTGCTTCTCCAAATCCGCCCAGTCCAGCGCCGTAGATCCGGGCGCTGGACTGGCCGTCGCTGCGAAGGGGGCGCCAGGCGCGCCTTCGATGGGCGGCTCCACGGGTAGGCAGAGGTAGCCTTGGGATCGAAGCTGGGAGTGGATGAACCAAGCTACAAACATCTGGAAAATATGTCATCTGTATTGGCTAAATGTAGGTTGTTTGATTTTAAATGATGGTTTTCCCTTTTTTTTCGGATCATCGTTGAATATTCTGTAACAACGTCAACTCCCCGGTCTGCAGCTGAGTTTGCCCAAATGAGGCCATGAACTGCTGGAGAAAAAAACATATGCAAAAAAACTAGAGTAACTATCGAGGAATCATACTATGTCCATGGTCATCTATATATAATTAGTCCCATTTGTATGATTCCTCGATAGTTACTCTATAATCATAGAAGATATAGTTGTTGTCATCTATATATTAGTCTCATCTATAATCATGTTAAAACAACAAACTGCAACCCTTCTCCGCCGGTGCAGGGCCCAGGGACCCAGCGGCTGTTCCACCCTGGCGGCGATGGTCAGGTGACCAAAGGAGACGTTCACGAAACCTCTGCGGGTGGCATCGTCCTGGTCGAGTGGATGTCATGGTGATTTAATGGGCATTGAATGCGAATTTAATGGGACATTAATATCACATAATTAATATATATATATACCATATATATATAAAATATACTCTCTGGCAATTTGACATAGCCATGGAAAGTAATCATTTGGATAGGTAAATCATTGAACCAAATGGGCCATGCTCAATAGCTATGTAACAAATTACCAGAGGATAAATCATGAAAATATGAATGCAACCCATCAAGGTAGGGATGCAAACACAAACATTGAGCTTTAGACCACAGAAATGTGTAATTGTTTTTAAAGATTTTTATGAACCATAAAATAGATATTTACTGTTTACTTAAACCTCACCTGTAAACTTAGAGATATTTACAGTAATCAGTAATCCATTAAATTCAGGGATTCAATCCGAGTGAAAAGAAGTAGAGAACCAATAAGTTTGGATTTAAGTCATCAATTTACCCTGAGTTTGTCTGAATCTGGGATGCCCCAAAATGGCCATCAAACCATGGAGAACATGATGATGAACATATATTGGACCTAATATATATATATAATACATATAATATATATGATATATATAATACAAATAAGATATATTATAATACAGATAATATATAATACATATATATATGATATATATATATATGATATATATATATATGTATGATATATATATATATATACATATTGTATAATATATATAATATATGATATATAAAATAATATAAAAATATGGTATATAATATATAATATAATATAATATAATATAATATAATATCAATATCAATATATATATATATATACATTGGTCAGAAACAATGGGATGAACTGGAACTTAAGCATACTTGAGGAAGGTTATTGTAGGGGACCATCACTGTCAAACCTGACGCTCAAAAAATATCAAAATTCACTATTGTTAGTCGGTAGTAGATCTACAAATCCTTCCAGGGGGAAGTGGAGTTGATTCTTTGGCACATCACGTGCACACATCCGGAAACATGGTGATATTCGCGGGATTGAATCTATGGCTCAAAATACTTTCAGAAGTGGTTTTAGTATGATTTTAATGAATATGTTTTAGTCACGCGTGGCAAAATAGGGAAGTCTTTCCTTCTCAGAAAAATCCTCCAACCTGCGTCCTGCTTGGTTAGGGGATCACTTAGAGCACCGGAAAGCGGATCACTTAGAGCACCAGATCACTTAGAGCACCATGGGATCACTTAGAGCACCAAAAACCCAGAATGAGACCTTTAGGGTTTAACTTGGGGACACGGGGCTGGGACATGGGGCGGGTTTAGGGGACAAGTCGGTACACAGGGCTGGGACATGGGGTGGGTTTAGGGGACAAACATGGTGGGTTAGAACCAAAAGAATCACATCTTTAGGGTTTAACTCGGGGACAGGGGGCTGACATGGGGCGGGTTTAGGGGACAAGTCGGGACAAGGGGCTGGGACATGGGGTGGGTTTAGGGGACAAGCATGGTGGATCAGAACCAAAGAATCACACCCCCGCGGTTTAACTTGGGGACGGGGGCTGGGACAAGCGGCGACACCGGGCTGGGACATGGGGTGGGTTTCACGGACAGGTGGCTGGGACTGGGGTCTAACGGACAGGGTGGCTGGGAATCAGACCTTCAGGGCTTAACTTGGGGACACGGGACTGGGACACGGGTTCGGTTACTTGGGACTACTGGTTGATTTCGGGCCGGAAGGCAGATTGCTAAAAATTTCCTGGAATGTGTACCTGCGTACATCTATTTCAGTGCTTCAGCGTGTATAGGCACGTATGAATGTGTCCATTTATGTGTCTATGTCTCTGTGTCTATATGTAGCTATAGCATCCTATAGCGCTTGTATCTCTTATGTGTCTGTACGTGTCACTTTTCGGCGTTCCAAGCGATCCACTTTCCGGCGCTCGAAGCAATCCACTTTCCGGCGCTGCCAAGCGAACCCCCGACCGTCCTGCTTCAAGGGCAGCTGCAATGCCACCATACGCCCGCGCGAAAGCGTAAAGAGCGGGATGCGAATTCCGCCCAACAGGATGGGCTCGCTGTCATCATACTCCGGCTCGTGGTAGACCTGCGGCACGTCTGATTCAATTCAAGTCATTGGGGGGATCATAATCCTAAATTATATAGTTGTACATGTTTAAAATGAACTCAAATGTCTGCAACATTCTGCAACCACAAAACATAAGTATATAGAAGATACACCGATTATCACTGGGATTATATGGGGTTATGCCACAGCTACTTCCTAATCTTACTATCTGGACAGCTCAAAAGAACTCAGCAGAATTTGCAAGACTCGAGGGCTGGCATCTGGGGAACTCGCTAATTATGAAAAAATGTTATGGATAGGCTAGACATATAAAAAAAAACATCAAAGGACATCATCAAAAACTTTGGATCTTCCATTGCTAGGTTGATTGCTGGAGGGTTGGTTGTTGCTTCCTCTCCAATCTTTTTGGCGCTTTTCGTGCCTTGAACTCCACCATTTCGTCAGGATTCTCGAACCACAAGGGCAGGTCAAACTGGTGCCCAAACACGGTGACTCCGGCGCAATCCACACCATATCCTCAACAAATGCGGTAAAGTAGGGCTGACTACACATTTTCCCCTGAAAACCGCTGCTCGATTGATTACGTTCATCCCCAATTCATCCATAGACCCAGTATAAAACAATCAACGTTGGCTATTTACATATGAGTGAAGGTTTGCTTGTACTTCCATGCTATGTGTAAAAATAGGGTATCGGTAAGTGGGTGGTCCCCTATCGGTTGTGAATGTTTCCGCACAAATTTGAACATCCCATGTCCACTAAAAAACACTTTAGTCTTCAAATTTTGTCGGTTACTCATATAGTTTTACATATATATATATAGATTAAAATGTAATATTTTAATGTTATACACAGTATAATCTGCACATATATATATATTAATTATATATATATACATATTTATATAACTAAAAACATATGCACTATTGTAAAGAAAATACTATATATTATATACTATATATTATGTATTATGTATTATGAATGATATATAATATGTGAAATATTAAACAAATATATTATATATTATATATCACATATCATATATCATATGTTTCAAATTAAAATAACATTAAATGTTACACATTAAATATCCTTATCTTTTTTAGTACATTTTGTATTATATAATAATTATTAAGTATAATATACTATGTTTTGTATATTATACTATATATTATATATTATAGTATATTACATATTATATATTATACAGTATATTAAATATTATATATTATAATATTGTACATAACATATTATACGTATATATACAAAATGTATTATGTATTGTATATTACTGTATATATTACAAAAAATAGATTATATATTATAATTTTTTTATTACATATTATATATTAAAAACTTATGTATTACATATTATTTTATATATGTTACGTTAAATATTAAATAATTATATATATATATATTTTATCTTTTATATGATATATTACATATGATATATGATATATTGTATATTAAATATTATATATTGCATTACAAGTGATATATTACATATTATATATGCTATATTACATATGATATATGATATATTGTAATATATATAAATAATATTAGAAATCATAGATAGTATAATGTGACAATGTGTACATATACATATATATATATATTATTATATTCTTCAATATATATATATAATAGTCTTAAATATATATATATATATAAATAATAAAAAATATTGTTAAGTACTGGCCTCAAGTTTGACCCAGGGCACTCGTCGCGGTGCGAAAGTGACATCCGTGCACTTGTCCCAGGACGTAAAGGTTGTGGGGTCCAGCAGAGGAAAATTGGTTGGAGGCATTGCCAACCTGTCAGATGCAACACAGAAAGACGGAAAACGAAACATGTGTGGCCCACCATCTTACCATATCTCATCGTATTATCTCACCAATGTATTGCTTCAACGTGACTTTTTTTTTTGGTAAAAACATCCAACTGCTGCGCGTGCCTTGCAAGGATATTCCCCACTTTCAGGTCCAGGCAAGTCATGTGAATCATGGAGCCTGTCGGCCACCAAGCCAGAGGTGCGTAGCACCTGGTCCCGGAAAAGATCCTGTTTTCTAGCCATGGAAATCATGAAATACGGGGGGAATATGATGATCATATGTTTGGGTTTACAATACACTGTAACATGATATGGTTTTTTATATGTAAACCCAATCATATGTAAAATCATTGAACATCATGAGTCTTGTTACACTGTAAACCCAAACGTAAGAAAAACATATGATGAGCCACCTGTGTTCATGTTTCCCACGAGGTTACGATTGTTTTTCTTCCCAACAAGAAAAGACTTGTGGCTGGGCACTACAGAAAGTCGCCGGCTTCGTCCAAACATGGGGCCTACCGCAAAATATGTATTTTCAAAGGTAACCTTATTTTCTAAATCATTGGGTTTAAGTGGAGGTCCCATTTTAGTCTGATAAAATAACAATGTTTCATAGATAAAATCGTCATGTTTTATGGTCAAAGCGTCATTTTCGATAGACATGCCAATTTTCAGTGAATTTTCAGACCTGCTTTAGGGTAGAGTGATAGGTCATTCCAAATCTTAATTGCTCAAATTAGCAGATTTGTATGGAATAGCCTTTGGTAATTTAGCATAGTTATGGCAAATCACCCAGTTAAATAGGGAAATCATATGGAAATTGGTAATTTAGCATAGTTATGGCAATTTTCCACACCGATGTTGGTTTACCAAATGGTAAATCCCCATTAAATTTTCTATAGTTTATGAAATTATTATAAAATCCCATTACATCCCATTAAACCACCATAAAATCACCATAAAATCCCATAAAATCCCATAAAATCCCAATAAAATCCCATTAAACCACCATTCAATGCCCCCCATTTAACTCGCCCCTGCCGCAACGTTTCCCGCCTGCAACTGAAGCTTGGCGGGTGGAGCCTCACACCGTTCCGGCGGCCCACGGGCCTCCCAGAAGTCCACCAAGCGGAGCCACCTGTGGGAGCCATGACGTTGGCGGTTCATGGTGAATGGTGCAGTGATTAATAAGGTATTGGTTAATACTATGGTGATTAATATGTGATTAATATGGTTAATACTATGATTAATATGGTTAATACTATGATTAATATGGTTGAGTTAATATGGTTAATACTATGGTCAATAATTTGGTTCATATGGTTAATACTATGGTTAATGGTGTAGTGACTAAATATGGTGAATGGTGAATGGTATATTATATTTAATATATATACTGTGATAAATATCATCTACAATCTATAGTTTTTTATGTGATATATTAGTGATATTTGTGATTTTTTTTGTGACTAAATATGGTTAATACTATGCTTAATAGTCTGGTTTTTTCTGGGGTTAAATTGAGTGTCGTGATGAATAATGTGGTTAATAATATGTGTGTTATTGGGATATAGTCTGATATAGCGTTAAAAATGCGATAATAATAGGGTTAATAATGCTTCATATAGTTGTTAATAATATCGTTATTCATAGTTAATAAGTGCGACTAATTGTTAATAATGGCCAATAATATTAAACCTATTAACCATCAATGTGGATATAATATGTGGGCAATGATGATTAATAGCGGTTATATAACAACAAAAGTTTTATAGCAATATGGCTAATAACCATAACAATCATATATATATATATACAATATAGTCCAGAGAGTGAATCGTCCTTAATAGTTGTCAATACTATGGTGAATCCTTGAATCAATATATGGTTCATATATTCCTTAGTTAATTAACTATGGTTAACCATTGTGGTTAATAGTGGTTAATTATGGTTAACCAAAGCAATGCTGGGATAATATGGAATACCACTAGTGCCACACAAGGCGGTGGCGGAAGTTTCAAATGTATAGGAAACCTAGAAACCTACGTATAGGAAAGGTGAGTTGTCGTGACGCATGGATGGCAGACTGAGTCTCTCTCTCTATCTCTCTCTGTCTCCTTTCCTGTGTGCCTATATATATATATATGGGTTCGGGGGAATAACCGTGCCCCCTGTAAATGGTTCAGAAGCAGTTGCCTTTGTGTCCATGCCTTTGAAGTCCATTCGTGTAGTAGCAGACCTGGCTTTTTTGCATAATGAGCAGATAATGCACTGCCAAATGTTTTGACGTCAGCCTTGACATTGATTTGCTGTGTGATACTGCATGATGCTCTGATTGCACTAGAAGACAAGAAGACAAATCAACAGACGATATCGCACCATTTGTGTTTTCCCCAGACGCGTCGTTTTCAGACATCCAGCTAACAAGGTGACTTAATTTGCAAGGCCTTCAAGACATCGAAGAAGCTATTCCCTACATTCGTTTTGAATGTATACTCATAGAGATCTCCGGCATCCACGGCATCCGTTTCCTCTGCGTCGTCAGCCCCTTGGCATTGGAAGGATAGGCGGCCATAACGCTCTCTCACATACCTTTTCAATCGGGAGAATTCACTTTCAATGTCATTGGAGTGAAAGCCCGTTGCACGGTCTCGCCATCCCTGGCTATGGTTCACAGGCGGCGCGGATTTGAACCCAATGTCAGCCAGAGCCGGTGAAGAGGCCTTCCACTTGTCATGCACCACAAATGCTTTTGGGCTAATGCACTTCAAGATGGCCTTTTTCATGCTCTTGATGCCCCTGGGCTTGCCGTCTGGTGCTGTCTTTGGAAGGCCCATAATATGGAAGCTGAACCTTTTGCAACCATTGTCATGAGTGTATCGGGAACAGCAGCAAAGAGCCAACGCCCAGTCCGTTGGTCTTTGGACGTCCCAGCAATGCCTTTGTTGTAGATGGACTTCATCACAGCAGCAGGCCGCTTGCGAGCAGAAGTTGATGAAGAGGCAGCAGGGCGACGAAGACAACTTGCTGGCCGATGGAAAGTTCGAGCAGGCAAACGCTTCACAATACGATCCCTCTGGATCTTGTTGGATTTATGATGGGTCTTCTTGGTGGTAGCGGCCTTTGATATCCCACGAGGCTGTCCCATGTTCGTCTCATCAAAGACAACGACATCACCAGCTTTAGAGCCTAGCACAAGCTGGCCATACTTCTTGAGGTAAAGTTCGAGAGCATCTTGGTACAATCCCCTCCACCGCCGCAATGTTTTGGTATCATGGGCACCAAAGATCTCTTCAATGTCCGTAGTCAGCTTCGTCCAACGGATATTGAGTCTCAGGCCATTGACAAAGTACAAGAAAGCCAGCCAAGAATTGAGCCTCACATTTGAAAGCAAACCCACTGGACAAAGACTAGCTCGAAAGCATTTGTGGCCTCTCACGGAGCATGTCCATTGGAAACGATCCCCAGTCTCTTCCAACTTGACTTTGTGACGAGAATTTGCAGGGCACTTCGAAGCCGTTGGAAAGAGCTTCAGTGCTTGGCAAAGAAGCAGCCCTCGCAGACAAAGAGTGTCTTTCAAATGCATTGGCACCAACAGGGGCGTATTCAATGCCTTCATAGCAAAAACGACTGATGAGGTAAACCAATCCTCACAAACACTCTTCTGGAAGGCAGCAATGGAAATTGGTGTGTCCTGACCACCCGTCTGCATGCTCAAAGTAGAGGCAGGTCGCTTAAAGCCAGCAAACATGCCTTTAAGATTTGGCTCTACAGAATAAGCTGATGATAGATTGTTCTACAGCAAAAAGATTCAAGATTCAAGATTCTAGGAGAAACTTTTTGAATCCAGATCCTCCTGGATTCAAGATTCAAGATTCAAGATTCTAGGAGAAACTTTTTGAATCCAGACCCCCCTTCTCGACTTACATCTCCTGGATTCAAGATTCAAGATTCTGAGGGAAACTTTTTGAATCCCAAGCCTCCTGGATTCAAGATTCAAGATTCTAGGAGAAACTTTTTGAATCAGAATTATCCTTTCAGACTTCCCTCATCCAGACCCAAGGCTTGGGATTCAAAACGTTTCCCTCAGAATCTTGAATCTTGAATCTTGAATCCAGAAAACTTTGCAAAGTTTCCTGGATTCAAGATTCAAGATTCTAGGCGAAACTTTTTGAATCAGAATCATCCTTTCAGACTTCCCTCATCCAGACCCAAGGCTTGGGATTCAAAAAGTTTCCCTCAGAATCTTGAATCTTGAATCTTGGATCCAGAAAACTTTGCAAAGTTTGCAAAGTTCTCTGTATCCAAGCTTTGAGAATTGTGGTATTTTTATTAATATATATATATATTAAAATGTGTACATGTCTGCATGGGCACTGGGGAATTAAATGAATCAAAGCATATAAACAAACCAGTTCCAGGGGGCACGGTTATTCCCCAGTACCCATATATATATATCTCTCTCTCTCTCTCTCTGTCTGTCTCTCGTTCTATCCATCTCTCTCTCTCCTCTCTCTCTCCTCTCTGTCTCCCTCTCGTTCTGTCCCTCTCTCTCTCTCTCTCTGTCTCTCTCTCTCTCGCTCTCTCTCTCTCTCTTTGTCTATCTGTCTATCTGTCTATCTGTCTATCTGTCTATCTGTCTATCTGTCTATCTGTCTATCTGTCTATCTGTCTATCTGTCTATCTGTCTATCTGTCTATGTGTCTATGTGTCTATGTGTCTATCTGTCTATCTGTCTATCTGTCTATCTGTCTATCTGTCTATGTGTCTATGTGTCTATGTGTCTATGTGTCTATGTGTCTATCTGTCTATCTGTCTATCTGTCTATCTGTCTATCTGTCTATCTATCTATCTATCTAAATCTAAATCTAAATCTAAATCTATCTATCTATCTATCTATCTATCTATCTATCTAATCTATCTAATCTATCTATCTATGCATCCATGTCACCATCTATCTATATCTATCTAAATCTATCTATATTTAATCAATATCTATCAATATCTATCATCTATCTATCTGTCTGTCTGTCTATCTATCTATCTATCTCTACCTATCTCTACCTATCTCTCTCTATCTCTCTCTATCTCTCTCTATCTCTCTCTATCTCTCTCTATCTCTCTCTATCTCTCTCTATCTCTCTCTCTATCAATCTCTATCAATCTCTATCTCTCTCTATCTCTCTCTATCTCTCTCTATCTCTCTCTTTTTCTCTCTCTATCTCTCTCTCTCTCTCTATCTATCTATCTATCTCTCTATCTAATCTAATCTAATCTAATCTATCTAATCTATCTAATCTATCTAATCTATCTAATCTATCTAATCTATCTAATCTATCTAATCTATCTAATCTATCCAATCTATCCAATCTATCCAATCTATCCAATCTATCGAATCTGTCGAATCTATCTCATCTATCTAATCTATCTAATCTATCGAATCTATCTCATCTATCTAATCTATCTAATCTATCTAATCTATCTAATCTATCTAATCTATCTAATCTATCTAATCTAATCTAATCTAATCTAATCTAATCTAATCTATCTAATCTATCTAATCATATCTCATCTATCTAATCTATCTAATCTATCTAATCTGTCTAATCTATCTATCTATATATCTATCTTATCTAATCTAATCTAATCTAATCTAATCTATCTGTCTATCTATCTATCTATCTATCTTATCTAATCTAATCTAATCTAATCTAATCTATCTATCTAACTAACTAACTAACTAATCTATCTATCTCTCTATCTATCTAATCTAATCTATCTAATCTATCTAATCTATCTAGTCTATCTAATCTATCTAATCTATCTAATCTATCTAATCTATCTATCTATCTATCTATCTATCCATCCATCCATCCATCTATCTATCTATCTATCTAATCAATCTATCTATCTATCTAATCTAACCTAACCTAACCTAACCTAACCTATCTATCTATCTATCTATCTAATCTCTCTCTCTCTCTATCTATGTATCTATCTACCCATCCATCCATCTATCCCATCTATCTATCCCATCTATCTATCCCATCTATCTATCCCATCTATCTATCCATCCATCCATCCATCCATCCATCTATCTATCTATCTATCTATTGATCTATCTATATATCTATCTATCCATCCATCCATCCATCCATCTATCTACCTATCCATCCATTTATCCATCCATCCATCCATCCATCCACCCAGTTTTCCACCTTCTATCTATCTACCTATCTATCTGAAAGGAAGCAATTATGCGAGACTTCCTTCAAAAGTGGAAGTTTACAGGTACAAAACAAAACAATTCTGCGAGTCTATAAACATGTAAGTTGACAGCTCCAAAGGTCCAAAACGAAGAATTTCTGCGAGGCTTCTTCCATTTTTGAAGTGGCCGCCCAAAAAGATGTAGAAACATGTTTCCTAGCTATTTTCCCAATCTTTTTCCCAGGTTTCTAACTTTTTGGATCTACACCCCGTCCTCACCCTGCCTGCTGTGTGGCTGCGCAGGCGGTACTACCACCTCCGTCGCGCTACGGAGGGCCCGCATCCACTGCTCCAGCTCAGCGGAGGTCTCCTGGTGGATATCTCAGGTAGGGATAGGATTAGACTGAGACTCAATGGGATTCATGGAATTTCATGGAATTTCATGGAATTTCATGGAATTTCATGATGGGATGCCATGCTCTTTATGGTTGGTTCATAGGATTTCAAATAGATAATGCGAATTCCCAAGCTTTCTGCTCTTCAGGAAAACACATCTTGGGGGTTCAAGTATAGTTTACACCCATTTGGATGATTGTGGTTTAAAATCTTCAATACTCATGCTTCAATTTACTCATTTCTAGTTCTGCACATGTATTGCTCAAAATGAAGCCACAAAAAATCTACAGTGCAGTAATGTACAGCATCTTTCAGAACATCCCTTCATCAAGTTTTGCCGTTTTGCCCTTCAACAGCCTTGAAACCCACCAAACCCTGGCGGTCCACGGCAAAAGTCATGGGCTGCCGTCGCAAGTGATGTGGAGGAAACAGCCGGAAGACGTGCAACACTTGGGGATTTCCGTGACCCCCGTCGTCGCCCAAGCGCAACTTGGGGTTGGCTTGGATACCCAGGAACTCAACCTAAGATGGAGATCTGGCAATCCAGGTCACCCGAAGATGTATAGGTCAAAAGTCAAAATGTCAAAATCTCCTAAATCCGTAGATGTTTGATGATTTTTTTTAAAATATAGTCTTAGATATCAACTAGTGTTTGTAATGTATTCCACTCCACTATATGCCATAAAAGAAATAAGAGGAATCAACATACAATATTTATGTATATATATAATTATACATACACATCGTATACATCCAACATCATGCAATTATATCCCAGATCTATCCATATTTTCCATTGTTAAATCACACGTTTGAGAGAGATTATATATATATATATGGCAGTGTGTCAAAACCTTGTACCCCTGTAGTTCACATCAAAATAGCTGCTAAATGGATGTTCATCCCATAAAAAATGGTATTAATAGGTATTGACCCATACCCATGTAAATACCCTCTGGTGAACTAACATAGCAATGGAAAATGGCCATAGAAATAGTGGATTTTCCCATGAAAAATGCTGGATCTTTCCATTGCAAACTGTTAGTTCACCAGAGGGTACATGTAAAATCCATGGCAAAATCACCCGTGACTGTTGACCTTTTAACAAATGCCCAAGTCGCAGAACTTCCGTGCAGTGGTCCAAGTTGTCCTACTTGATTGCCATCCGCCGTGGGTGAACCTGGGCTGACCCCAACAGAAATGGATGTGGGTCAAAATGGAAGACCTAGGGGACCACAGATGGAAATATCTAGTTTAGTATTAACCATCCAATTATTGGGGTACCTAATTTTGACCCATACCCAAATGGGTATTGCGGTATAGCACTTAAACATGGGATTGCTGAAGATGGAAAAAACCAAACAACATGATTCCAGTGGTTTACCATCATTTTCCGAATCAACATGTTCATGTTGGGGTTATCTGATCCCACCAATGTTTCCCCGCTTCAAACATGTTCAAACCCAATTGTGGTGAGTTGGGTGCAAGTCAAAGTTGTACTGACCCTCAAAATTGAACATTATCTGTATCTAATAATCTAATATCTAAGCACCCATTTCCACCAAACATTTGACCCATATCTTAACAAACCTTCTTTGTAGCCGAATACCCTCATAGAGTGTGTTGAAATGTCTTCTTCACGCTCTCCATCCCATCATATCCCATCCAAGCATTTCTTGCCATTGGCATGGGGTGTTTCTGGTCCATATTCAACGGAGTCAAATCTTGATGTCGTTTTTTCATTCTACGTATTTCCCAAAAAAAACATGAGTTCTTCCCACTTCCCAAACATAGGTAGCCGGTTAGCCGGTTAGCCATCATCTTTTCTCCCTCATCATTTTAGGCATACATTGTCACAGGTGGGACAGTCCAATGCACCTCAAATGGGACGATATGAACCCATTCATTGACATTTACACACATTGTTAGTACATCATAGCAATTAAAACCATAAAAATGGTGCATTTAAGTATGATTTGTGTGGTTTGTATGGCCCAAAAGAATTGCTCAAAGCCCCAAAATCATTTAGCCCGCTTTTTCTAGGTGCTTGGAGGGTCTAGGTATATAATACACACCCCAAACAAATAGAACAGTGATTTATCACTACAGTATTTTTAGTAGGATATAGTCATATAGTAGGATTTTACCACCTTCTATCTGTTTTGGGCTTGCAATATCCATGGATGTTCGCTTCCAGCTGAGCATTGTTCAAAACCCTTTGTCATTCCATTATACCGGTTGGTTAATAGGGATTCCCATATTATGGTGATGCTAATGTATATATTGGATAGTATAATCCCCGAGAATCATCAACAAATCATCATGTATCAATGATATTCCATCTGTTTGACAGTTCAAACCCTCTCAGAAATCCATAGTTCCATACATGTTAAAGCCCCATAAAATCCATAGATTTCCCCTGTAATTCCATGGTGAAATCCATGGAAATCGCCTAACTCATCCACCAACCGGCCACGATTTCCGGCCAGGCCACGATCTTCGCGCCGCGCCTCGCTGGCCTCCCCAGCCTCCGCCTGCGCGGCCTTTTCGCTCAGGGGACGCACCCACTGGAGGAGTCCTATGGCCCCGACTGGGGGAAAATCTGGGGAAACATGCCATGGTGAAACACTGGAAGTTGGTGAAACGCAACGGGGAATTTCGAAAAAGGAACTGACATAGCCTGTGGTATTTTGAGAAAATTCAACATCAAGTCTGGTCTTTGAAACATTATGTTAATTCCTATATTCCTTATGTTTGCTGGAACCAATCTGTGGTTGGTTGCATCCCTTTTCACGCAGTGCTAGATCCAAGAATCATATCCAATGTTTCTTGCTTTTGACATCATCCTGAAGAGGGATGAAGAGGGGACATCTCCACCAGATCCAGTTCCCAGGTATATTCTTTTACATATGACGACTGGTCTTTCCCTGGACTCGGGGAACCTCGGCTGTCTGGAAATGTACCAGTTTCAAGCAGTAAAAACCTTTTAGGGTTTTAATAACTAATCTTTCACTGCAAGTTCGGCAAAGGGTGAGTCTAGCCGGTAGCATACTATACTAGATACGGCTTGTAAATATATGCGTGCTAAGGAACCACTCCACGTTTATCTAACAAAATAACAAGAAATCCTCCCACCCAAGTTGGGTGCTCCTCCTTCGCGCAAGCAAACGTGAGTCTTATCCCACAAAGGCTCTTGGCCATGATCTGCGGCCTTGGTTTTTTTGGGGGTCCCATGGCTGGTAGATGCAGTTGGATATTTACCCAGTCGCAAAGAGTGAACAACAAAATTAGAACGATCATGACTATGGTCCTTTTGAAGGTTGCTACTTAAATCCCAAGTGTTCTTAGCCAAATATCGACCTGGTTGTTGCGGTAACCCATCCCAAAACAATATTACTGTAAGCAATCATCGCAAGCAAGTTGAACAAACAAAAACAAAACAAAAGACACTCAATCTCTCAGGGGAATGGCTACCAACAACCATCTCATGATTATCTGATCCCCATGATGGTTATAATTCTGTTTACAGGTTTGACTAACCAATCCCCTGAGTGCATGGTCGATTCAAATCATCAACCACCCCCGGATTTGTTGAATCCCAGCGTTGGCATTTGAAAAAAAAACAGTTCTCTGGTTCACAGCAAAGCCTCTATTTGTGGAATGTTCCTCCATATACAGTAAACATATAAACCTCTACATCCTGAAATCCCATGGTTTATTGTCATACTCACCCTAGCTCACTGGCATCACCCATATTGACAAAAATCCAGACCCATTCATTCATCGTTTTGATTTTGCCGGTTAAATCCAACACGTTTGATGATTATCTCAAATTACTAGATTCGTAGAGTGCTAATTCCGCAGTTTTTGATGGTTTTTTCATGGTTAAATCCACATTTTTGGTGGTTGAAAGCCCCCTTTATGAGCCATTTCCAGCACCACCGACCCCCCTTGTTTCGCCTGGGGGGGAACTCCCTGCGGCGCAGGAAGTGCCCGCGAAGGGCCGGACGGCGTGGCCAGAAGGGCCATTACCTCTTTGGCCAAGAGCCCCACCTGAGAGGATGTTGGATATGGTTTATGGTCAAAACAATATAAAATAATGGGAAAAATCAGGACAAATAATCACGGTGTATATTGCATTTTTTCTATGATGGGAATAGTATTTTTATGATGTTGGATATGGTATCAATAGTGGGATAATAATCAACAATAGAGGTCAAAACAGGACATGGTGTATTGACATATATATATATATACATATTGGATAACATTATACCAATAATGGGAAATACTATGGTATCAAAAGGACTATGGCATAACTATGGCTAATAGTTCATAGTTGTGCATAGTCTTGACTAATTGTTCACATGTTATTATCATCATTTTCGGTACATTCATAGTTGAATATCATGAAGTGTTCATAGTTTAGTTTCAAGCAAAGCCCTATGGTTTCATGTTGTTCGATATCAAAAAATGCCTCTAGATAATCCGTATTTTTTCAAGATCTATTCTTTTGTTTGATGGTCATATTTCCAAATCGTTGAAGTAAAGGACCCCCAGTTAGAATATTGGAAAATCCAACTTCCGTGTTTAACGTGAGTTCAGGATATATCTGTTTTCATATGTTGTTGAGACGTTTTAATTCACACATAGAATTTAAAAAATAAAAAGACCCCCTTACACTTAGAATATTTTGGATGTTTATGTATAGTATGATATTACATGACAACATATGAAAACCACACAAATCGTGTGTTTCACAGCCGTTTTGCACACAACCTGTTGCATTTGTGCCAAACAAACAGCTACATTGCCGAATTGCCGCACCTTCCTGCCCTAGCCTTGTATGTCTGAACGCTCGCATGACACAAGAATCCTACGGATTTTGTCGAAAATCACATTGCAAACAGTGATTCACACTTGCATACTAGGATAACTAATCATAATGTTCTCCCTGGGTATGCCTACAGTACATGGCAATTGTAGTACATAGTATAGGGAAATAGACTATTGACATTGCCCTACAATAATTTGTGCAGACCGCTGCTGTATAACCGTGACCACTTTATGGTTATACCACGATTTACAGTGATTTGTTTCATCTATATATAAACCGGTTTTGGAACATGGAGATATAACTATAACATTTCAATGGATTTGTCAGTTGGTGGTTTAATCCATAACTGTAATCATAACATTTAGCCAGCCATGAGCATCCCCAAATGGTGGATCCATAGATTTGTTGATCTATCTCAAAGGATGGGTTTATCCATGGGGCTTCACCTTATTTTTTCATGGGATATATACATGTATCAAACACAGTAACAAACACATTGATCATTTTCCCATTCTGGGGAAAGTTTATCAGATCATGATTTATTGATGGGTTTATCATAAATATCTACAAATGATCATTCCAATAGGATGTTTGGTTACTGTTATCTATTCAATTGCCAATTGGTGGTTAATATTTCCAGAAATGATTAAGTGTATATACAAAAATAAAACTCAGTATATATATGATATTAAACGTATAATTGTGTGTATATACATATATATTGTATAATTATGCATGTGTATATATATATATATATACATATTCTATATATATATACAGGAATAACACATATATGGTCCAGCCTTCCAACCCCCCTCCCCCCCCCCTCCGTCATGGTCATGGGTCAGCCATAGTACTGTCCCCCTCCCCCCCTGTGGTGTGGTGGGGGTGTGGTGGGGGTGTGGTACTGCGTATATATATATATATATATACATATATATATATATACGAATATGTGTATATATATATATGTATATATATATATGTATATATATACATAAATGTATGTGTACATATATATCTATATATGAATATTATCTTTATTTATATATATATATCTATGTGAATATATGTATATATGTATATATATATATACATGTAAATTTAAATACGCATGTGTATATATATATTTATGTGCGTATGTGTATATATATATATATGTATCTAAAATATGTATATATATATGTATGTATCTATAATATGTGTATATACATGTATATAGGAAGTAGATACATAGGTCTTGTATATATGACTATAGGTAGCACGTAGGTACTTTGAGGGAGTATGTGTGCTACGTAGGTCGTCTAAAAGGTAGCATGTACCTAGTAAATGCGAGGCTGGTAGTCAGAATCGCTGCAAAAACCTAGCAAATACGAGGCTGGACCTCAGAAATGCTGCCAATAGCTTGCAAATAGAAGGGAAGGGGGTGCTACCTGTGGACCCATACCATTGGGGGGGGTAGGAACACGGAACACGAGACCACATATTATATATATATAGTAATATGTACACATCTATGTACTGTTGCATTATATATATATATATGTCATGATAGATAGGAATATAAAAGGACACATAAATGAGTAGAACGATAAACAAACATAGATAGATACTGATCCATATACATATTGATGTTTAAAACAGGAGATATGTCAAAAAGAGCGATTGTTCAAACGGAATACGATACAGTATTGAGATTAATTTTGCAGCATACCATTTTGTTTGACAAACTCAAACGTTGTATGCATGTAAACAAAAAAATTGCATAATATATATATATATATATATGCAATATACACATATGTAGAATATATGAATATGTATATACATATATATAGAATTATATAGAATTATTATATCATGTCCGCATCGAAGGTTTTTACATCATCTATGATAGGTCATTAGCATTGATTGGTCGGAAAAATAATGAACAGTTTAATTCTGTATATATAACAATCGCTTTGTTTAAAAACAGCCAACAAAATGAAATGATAAAACATTGCGTAGGTTCACCACCACAGTCACAGGCAGAATGCTCGTATCTGCATGATGCAAAATACAAAACGTAACATTATGAAATACAAACATATCGCAAAACACTATAGGAAAACAACACAAATATGTCACTTGAAAACATATACCAATCATAAAACAAATGAACAGGAATCAACAACTACAACAAAGGCTTCATGATCAACAAAATTATGAGCTCCAAACTCCGACCACTTTTGACAACGTGGTACAAGTTGGGGCACCCCAGCTATAACTTGTTTTATAATTTCCATGAACCATATAAATATCTACCACAACAACAACAACAACAACAACAACAACAAGAACAACAACAACAAGAACAACAACCACAACCACAACCACAACCACAACAACAACAACAACCACAACCACAACCACAACCACAACCACAACCACAACCACAACCAAAAAAAAACAAATAGAATTCACCTTTCATTAGTTCAACCAACAACTTCGCCATCCTTTGGGAACCCCACCTCTTTACTCAACCAATTGCCAGGTGGCTCGACCCAGGTGCAAACTGCCTCCACCCACCAGCCACTCTTCACCGCAGGACAGCAGCGCCCGCGCTTCCCGCCGCAGGAGGCGAAACACCATGGTGCTACGCGACAAGTTGGACCTGGATGGGTGAACTCCAACATGGGAAACCATGGAAAGCTGGAAAAAAAATAGCTGGTTGGTGGTTGACCTACCCCTCTGAAAAATATGAAAGTCAGTTGGGATTATTATTCCCAATATATGGAAAGTCATAAAACATGTTCCAAACCACCAACCAGATAGCCATTTTTGGGATCATTTTCATGGGAAAATCAACGAACAGAATCTAAATGAATATCTTAGTTGGAGATTGGTCCATTGCTAAATTACCCTCTGGTAAACTGTTACATAACTATGGAAAATCACCATGTTTAATGGGAAAATCCACTATAAATAGCCATTTTCAATAGCTATTTTGACATAACCAGAGGGTAGATTTCCAAACAGTTGGGGAATCGTTGGATCCGGCTCTCTGATCATGACCCTATTCAGGAGTGGTTTGGGGGGCCCACCATTGCACCTAGACATTGGATAGTTTGAAGCTAAACATGGCCACTCCACCTGTGGCTCCAGGGCTTTAGTAATGGGGAGTCAAACCAGTTGTTGGAACAGCAGCAACAACTGTCCAATGATGATGTGGATGTCCAAACAGGCGCTTTACCTAGTTTTCCCTCACACACACAAGCGGCGGTAAAAAAGGTGAACAAAGGCAAAGGCAGATATGGAAGCTCCACTGTCAAAACACATACGAAGTATCTTCAGGCCACGCTTCAGTTCTCAGGACAACCTGTGGTGTACCAGTAGCATCCGTCACCCAGCAAAACACTCCTACCACAGGAGCCAACAAACATGTGCAAACCACAACTCGAATCATTGCCAACCTTAAGATACACTGCAGAAAAAAACATCTGGGCAGGTTCATGCAATATATATATATAATATATATAATATATATATACATATAATATATACATATATATATATATATTATATTCCTATATATGTATATATATATACATATATATATTCATTTAGTGCAAAAGGTTAAAGTACTAAACTACCCCTTCCCCAAGGTTTCACAAGGTTCAGCCCACTGTCTCAACGGAGGTGGGCCTCTTCTTCCACACTTTTCCCCACATGATCAGCGGCGGTCCAGTGGCGAATGGACTCCTCCGTTGCGCCACCGTGTTACCATGGAGAACATCCGCTAAGAGAGAGAGAGAGAGAGAGAACGAACAGAGAGAACAAAAAAAAATGTACCTATTCATATACCATATTTCATATATTATATGATAGCATCATATAACCTTCTTTCACATACTGCAGAAGATCGACCAATGTTTGGGCTGGCTATCTGTTTTCAGCGCAATGATCTAAGCTTCTGTCATTGTCTGCGTCTATATCTTCAGCAATAGGCTCTAGACTTTCACTACAGTGCTGGTCTGATTGAAAAATATTGCCAAATCAATCCAAATCAGCCATGTACACTATATTTATCTACATCTATCCCTTCAGTCCAAATGGAGGTAAATATAAAAATATATCACACGCAGACATACGCAGACCGTATTGAACGAAATGATGGATATTGACCCAAACTGGCCTAAATAAAATACATCGGAATACCAGGGATGGTTGAGAAGCGAAACACAGTAAATAAATACTGTAAATATATATATATACATACATACGTACCGCGTCTCAACCATCCCAGGTATACCCCTCTACAACTCCTCTCCGACACAGCTTCACGGGTCCTTGGGACAGCTTGGGTGAAGGTTGGGAATGGACAGTGGTTCGGTCATTGGCTTGAGGAAAACAACACAACTGAATGTGTCTTAGAATGTTTATGCATGGGTAAAGGCCATAGCATGTCCACATGGCATATCCAGACTAGCTTATCATTTCTTCGTACCATCTATCATATCATATATCACAAATTCCATATATCACATTCCATATATCATATACCATATCATATCACACCATGTGTCTGCGTGCACATTATGTGTTCTACTGTATCTTCTATATACATATAATTACGTATGTACACACACCTCAAACCAAGTTTCAGGAACATCAAACCAAATTATATATTATTAGACAGTTTAGGAAGACTCTGTTGAGTCTTGGTCCAGCACTCACAGTTACACACAGTTCATGTGAGTTTGTCTACAAAAAAAACAAGTACCAACAGAAAAACATATTGCAAACAAATTTATGTTCTTTTAATTACAGAGATAGCGTACATATCATGTGCATATATACCCTCTGGTAATTTAACATAGCTATTGAACATGGCCATTTATAGTGAGTTTTCCCATTAAAAATTGTGATTTTCCCATAGTTATGTAACAGTTTACCAGAGGGTAAACAATAGCATCTGAACCTGAGTGTCTCGTCCGATGCCAACAAGAAGCGGATAGGCTTTCGGCGAGTCGCCCTGGGGATGTAAACATCCACCACCCAGTCGCCGGGAAAAAACGACGTGAGTCATTGGGATTTTCTGAGATTTCTATGTAGAAGATCTACTGCAAATAATAAAGACATTAAAATACATACATTATACGAATATATATATATATATACATATGTATATATATGTAATTACACTATATATCATATAATATATACATACATGAATATCTGCCATGGTCAAAACATATGTGGGTTATGGTCTCCCCAACGTTATTGTGCGATTCACCAGGCACATATGTCATACACTAGGATCTGCTGCCCGGAGTATACGTCTGTGAATATACTGATCATATCGAAAACAAACCACCAACAGCAGTTTTAGAACTCATCAGGTGGTGAACCCAATCATAACTTAGGAGGTTTCTCTACCATGATTTTCATAAGCCCAATTGTCAGACATACCTGCCTGCTGACACTCACCTGCCACGCTGAAACAACACACCTGCCACATTGACTGACACACAGACGGGGCACAACTGACACACTAAAACGATTAACTGCCTCACACACCTGCCGCCCTCTCTGACAGACAGACCGGGCACATTGCTACACTGAAACGACCAACTGCCACACACCTGCCACCCACACCTGCCACACATTTGCCACACATTTGCCACACATTTGCCACACACCTGCCACTTTTGTCTCTTCTTGAACCAACTGCAATATTTTACAAAACAACAAATATCAATGTTTAATGCAATTTGCCCATGACTAAAATTGTTACTATAAAAAATATGGCAAATGAATAGTTCACTCATGTTTACCTAGTTTACCTGTTTACCTTGTGTTTCTTTTTTTTCATGCGTTATCAAACACCTGTTTTTGAAAAATGCATTGCTGACTCCTGAACTATTCTCTTGAAGTTTTTTTGGGTTTTGCTAAACCAATGCTGAATACTAATGAATACTAATAACGTACGGGCCAACACGCAAAAGGACAGTGATATGAAATTATGTTGGTGAACATTTACCTCAACCCAACTTGCCCACCCTCCATTTCCAAGAAGTAAATTTTCAAAATAGAAGAGCTCCATATTTTTGATTGTGCAAGCCTGATTTTTGAATCTTGGGCTCGCGAAACGTGTATTCAAAAACCTTCGAAACACACTTTGGACCAAAACTATCCTTGGCGCTTCTCCCAAAAGATTTTGCATTTATTCTTTTTGTCCTGGCACCCCTCTTATATTTCATCCATGTTTCCATTCAAAACGGAACATGTCTGTTACACACAAGCCTGTTGTGCACAGATCGTGTTTTAAGAAGGGTTGGCAGCAGTGAAAGAATGTAGACGATGGCAGCAAAGGTGAGAGTGTAGCGTAGTGTGGCAGCAGGCATGGCAGTAGTAGAGCTGGCATGTGGCACCAGGCGTGGCGGTAGGAGAGCTTAGACGTGGCAGTAGTAGAGCTGGAGCGTGGCAGTAATAGAGCTGGGGTGTGGCAACAGGCATGGCAGTAGCAAAGCCGTAGTATTGCTGAGGCGTGGCAGCAGTGTGGCGGTAACAGCTTGTTCCTGACAATTCTCCCCACAAAAAGGTACCACTATCATGCTAGAGAAATCCCCTAATCATAAACCATACCCCATTAATGTCCATTTTACCATTTTAAAGATATCCAAAAAAATCATGCCCGCAGCAATACACGTTGGCTTATGGCTTATGACCATTTGATTCTTGGGGGTACCCTCTGGTAATTTAACATAGCTATAGAAAATCACCATTTTTAATAGGTAAACCATCTATAAATGGGCCATTTTCCATAGCTATGTTAGTTTACCAGAGGGTACCACGTTACAACCCATGGGAAAATCACCAGCCCAGCCTCGTGAGGAATGTCATGAACCGAAGCAGTGGTCCCTGTGGTCACTGTCTCGTTGGTCATGGACTCATTGGGGACCTCCCAAAAAAATGGCCGAGTTCGATGGCATGAATCATGGCATGAATCATGGCCATAGTGCCATAGGGTGTGACAAAAATATATAACAATTTGGTAAGTTTACCCTTGGTCATCGGAACTTCATGGTGGATTTAACACCCTTTTCAATTGATCATGGACACCTCATTCAACAGTTTGATAAGCTAACTACACTAAATATAAACCTAAAAGGACATGCATCACGTGGACCTTTAAAGAGGAATGGCCTATCGCTGGCTTTGCCGATGAGAAAACCCCTTCCCCTGCTTCCATCCTCTCAGTGCAGGGTCGAACAAGGGAGTGATCATTAAAATCAATAAGTGAAGTATCGGGGAGATATGCCATATATCAAACATACATATTATATAAGAATATGTATCGAATTATGTATAAATAATGGAGTCAAATTATGTGTATATATATATACACAACTATGGTTATAGCCTCTGTATCACTCTTTGGCAACCATGTCATATACCGTCCCCTGCCATATACAAGTACCCCATATACATCCCGTACGCCATGTCTAGGTCGCCCCTACCGGCATCTCGTAGTCCGCCGCTGCCGTTGCTTCCTGACCACCGGGCTATGGTCATGCCACCATCATTCGGACCTCCTCAAAATGGGTATATAAATCATTATAAAACCCCATCAATAGATAGATAACATT